TAGACAGTATCAATCATCGTCTGACACTTGTCTATTGTTAAGATCCATACCCTCTTCTATCGGAAGAGTAGGTACGCACCCGAGTGCCAAAATACGGACAGTGGGCCGAAAAAATATGTTTTCTTTTAGCCAAACACGTCGTAGGCGTGTATAAATATTTCAAAAATCTCGTTTCTAATTTAGGCGATCAGATGAAAATGTATTTTTACACTGGAAAAAATGCGAATACTCGTTATAAGCTAGGTTTTTTTTTATTTTATTTAATCTAGTCTCAATAACAATAACGAAAAGTCCAAAATGTTTTACCATCTTACACATACCGCCAATTCGTAGCGGGAACAATGATCAGAAGCTGTAGATTGCTAAAATCATGCCAAATGTGCCAAATCCCAGGGTTGGCATGTTTAAAACGGATTTTATCGATAAAATAAAATCCGACTGCGTTTTTATTGTTTAAAAGACGATGAAAAAAAAAATTAAACGACGCATTTTCAAACTCTGGCCAAGACGTTACCCGGAATCAACATGGAAACTTATACTAACAGTTGCGACTAGCAACGTTGTGAAATAATGATAGTACATAATAATAATAATCTAACGTTGATGGCCGTTTGAGTTTCATACGTTCAGAACAAAACACGGCAAATGCAATGATATTGTTAATAATGTTTGCTTCTTGCTGTCATATATTGTCACAGTGTTTCGTTTTAGACATTAAACAGCTAAGCCACAAACACAGCACTCCCGCAGACGAAGTCAACGACACGACCAAAATTTACCAACAACCTAATTATGAGATCCACCAAGTGCAAGTCTCCACTATCCGAGGACTTTTATTCATCGGTTACATACTGTTGGTAGTCATCGTCGTGTACGTTTATAAGAAGACCGACAAAAAGCAGCTCGAAGAAAGTGAATATACGAGTACGTCAGTCTAAATTTCGTTTTTTTTCTCATTAATTTTGTCCAAACTGTAATGTAAACATGACATAATTTGAAACAATAATAGTAATATTACACGAGAAAAATATACAAACCGATTATTATAATTGTTTAAAACTAAGTTAAATTGTTACAAATTGTATTATAAAACTAGGTAGATTTTTTTTTTAATAAGTAAGGGTTTTTCAAATTACAAGAGGACTTTTGCATTCTAGAAGTTGGCACGAGGGCTTAATTTTTTACACCGTTTTGGCGTGAACGGTAAAACTCGCTAATCTTTGAAGAAGACCTCGGCCGGTGGGGTTCATTTCAAGTGTGACCCACATTGGACATTTTTAAGTAAACCTAACGCTAAGTGCTTTTTGTTAATACCCATTAGTGTACGAAGTAAACAATATCAAACTTCAACTATAAAAGACCATAATATAATATTATTCAACGTGTGGATTGTGTTTTTCTTTTATTTAATGAAAAGAAAATATAAACCGAAATACATTTTTTTATTAACCAAAGTAATTATTATGCAGAAGCACGAACAAATATACTATTATACATTTTTTTTTGTCACCGTAGGTCGTTTTTCATTCAGTTTAAAACATTTCCGACAAAATAGATAAATAATGTTCAAATTCAACACGATGCGGACTACACACATATCGTGTACAGTGTTTTTTTTCAACGCAATAGTATGATAGTCTAAGCTACTTAAAGTAGCTTATTTTTTTAAGTTAATTTTAAATGGTATTTAAAAGAATATAAAAAAGGTCACAAGTAAGACGACATAGTTCGTTATAAAACTTAAATTATTTGAACTGCATATTTCTTGGGTACTTAAACATAAATCACATATTCAGTGGCGTCATTTATTTCTACACAGCTTCCTACCCTATTATATAGTCATTTTAAAGGGTTGGACGAAATATGAATTTGACTATAGGAAAATATATGGGATGAATATGGAGGAAACGATTAAGTATATAAATTATTACCATGGCAACATTTAAATGTTATTAACTGGCCGATAACTATTATCCGTAAGGGGAAATATGTATACATATAAATATATATATATAAAGTGACAAAACAACCCACCTCGTAGTATAAAACTCATCTCTAAAACCCAGTCTTCATAATGTATGATAGAAAAAACTTTACAATTGTTAATTTCTATTAATGTTTCTAAAGTAAAAAAGTTGTTTTATTTTAATATTTACAACAAACCCTAAACAAAGATTGTAATATAATATATATATATATATATATATATATATGTGCATATCGTACATATATACATATATGTTATGTATATATTATAAATATTCCGAAAATATTGGAGTTGTTTACTAAAACGTACCAATATAATAATAAAAAAAAATAATAATTTATGTTAATTTGAGCGACCGTGTAATAATTTTCAACATTTTATCTATACGTTTCTTTTGTTAAAAATGTATGACAGTTTGATGGAGATTCACAAGTACCTTCCTAATGAATATTGTTTTAATAAAATAGTCGAACGAACAATGAAAGCCGAGTCAGTTGGTTTTTTTTATTGGAACATTTTTATGTAAACACGCGACGCGACGCCGGTCCTTGTAATGTTCAAACAACAACACGACTCACGAGCGTATTGTGTTGCCTTAAAAAACGTTTCTAGGCGAGGCAACTTACACTTTCGTTAAACAAAATAATATATTGTTTCGATGTTCAACTGAGCAGTTATATGATATAATGCAACAGCTAAACTATAAAACATTTAAAAAAATTAAAAAATTGAATGGTAGTGAAATTCGAAAACGAAACAAATGGTTATGAAGATACAATTTTTATGATAAATTTATTTCGTTGAGATATTGTTCCGGTTGAACTAGAATGTTGGTTTTTCAGATTATAATATTACAATACGTATATTATATTACATAATTGTACCCTTTTAAACGTATTATGTCCATAGTAGTCGCCAGCCGGATGAAAACCGCTCAAAGTACGCGCGTTCTATGCAATTACGTTGGTTTTATGTTCACACCTATACCATGCCGCCCCGGTAAAAACCATTAAAACCGGAACATAATACGGCTATTATTTAGGTTGTCGAATTACCGTTTAAAATAACAGATCGACATCCTCTTCTCGAACCGTAGTGTGATAATTTACAACCGTATTAATTGTTTTTTCCAACCCAATCATACAACGTAAAATAATCACCGCGACCCAGGGAAAAAATCTATAATAATTACTGATTAATGATTATATTTCCTTGTTAAACGGCATATTCAAAATGAAAATCTAACGACGGGAACATTGAGTTATTTTTTGTAATAATTATTGTTTTTTTTTTTTTGAAAAACAACTACACTAAATTGATTGTTTATAAACAAACAAAAAACTTACTACTTATGTTAAACAATTTCAATAAAATGTAAACGTAATAGTTACATTGAAACTTGAGCCGATTGTCGGCAACAGTCCTTCTTTTAAATAAAAACACCAAATTCCACGGTTCAATGAAAGGTAAGACTAGCAATAGAAAATCGATTAAGTTTTACGTAACTAAACAGATTACCCTATGGCGACGGCTGATTAAATTAGAAGTTACACTAGGATTCAATCTGAAGTCCTAAGGCGAACGTTATATTCTCTACCGGATTTCGATGACTAACTAGATAGCAAGTAGGCATTCTTTTATTAAGTTATTAAATGATTCAAGTTTTTTTAACAGGGTGAAAAATATTATTATTGTACCTATGTACATTAATAGTACTGAAAAGTAAGCTGTATTTTGTGGCTACATTGAAAAAGGTCAGCCCGCTTTGTATTAATAAAGTTGTATCTCTCTTAGTGGTTATAGCTAGTTTGAAATTTAATAAAATTCTTATTTTACCTGAATTAGGATTTTTGACAATATTTTTGTAATGCCACTCTTTATTAACGGAAATATGTATTATTTTTCTAATTGTGGCCGTAATTTCAAAGCAATAAACAAATAACCATTATGCTTAAGTAACAAATCTTTAAATCCATAAACTACTAAGTAGTACTAAATCTCGTCTCCGGTCTCCCAAAACTTATAACTTTAGTTTTCCAAAAACTAGGGCGTTCGTGGATTTTAAATCAAATTAAGACATATTATAGACACAATGTAGCTGATGCACACTTAGATTGTGAGAGTAATAATTATGTGCGATATAATAAACGTGCGTTGCGAAAATCAATGTAATTTTTTTTTTTTTGTAGGTACAGCAAAAGTTTACTCAACATCCGTGTTTAAGGTGTGTACTTCATACATACTTCAAATTCGAGTTATGCGTCAATTAGGTGTTGTGGACTTCAGGTCTCAGATGTAATCAGGGTTTATCTGATGATTTGTGGGCGGAGAGGCGGCAAGGATCAATTAGTTGTTCGGTCATCGTTTGTAAATTAAATGATTCCCAGCACGATCTGCGGGACGGAGAAAAGGTGATCCGTGACCTGAGGGACAATCTGCCAGCCAGACGCTTTACAACGTGTGATAATAATTATATTATAATGATATGTTTGAACACCTCCAATGCACCGATGGACATTAGTTTGTATAATGAAGTGTCGTTTGCCGGTTTTTTAACAATGTCGGATGGACTCCGAACAAAGAAAGGTAATTCCGCCCTACGAATTAACACTTCTAAAGGGCTGATCACATACAATAATGGATAAATAACCGACAAAACGAGACGCGCTACAAATTACTCATTTACTACTTACTACCCTTCCCTTATATTAAAAACGCCTAAATACAAATCTAGTGTCGAGTTTCAACCCGAGGAATCCTGTTTCTCGCTCTACTTAACAATATAATTTTACATGATGCAGGTATAAAGTGCTCTTAAGTTACCAACTATGATTAATTATAGAGTGGACGTTAGTATCACTTAGCCTTGCGCGTATTGATAAATACAACACATCGCAGCTATATTGTATAATACAGTTCATAGAATCGTATACATACGTACTCAACAGAAAACTAGAAAATCTTGGCCATATTTCAGTTACAAATTACAATCCAATTATATTGCACCACTTACCTTGCATTGACCATCTACGCATATGTGAGGTCTCGTGTCGTTGGTTCCGTTGCAAGGAGTACCGTCTATTACTTGAGGCTTTAGCACTGCATAAAAACGATAACCGATCGGACGACAATTCAACGAACATTGATTTGTGGCTGAAACAATTAACACAAATATTGGATAAATGGAAACTTTCGAATAAATCTTAATTTTTTCATCAGTTGTAGATAAATTATATGATTTTTTCTGGAAAATTAATTGGCTATAAATTGGGTACTTAGAATTACCACCTACCTTATTATTTACTAAAATATATATATATATATATATATATATATACTATTAATTTCAATAAACTTATGTGTTTATTTAAGTATTTAAATTTATTTTCACAAATTATAAAAAAAATATTTTAACAACGATACGTTCCATTTTCCGAAATGATTTGTTCCTCAAAATTAAAGGAAGCTCAGAGAAATAATTTAAAAAATTTAAGATTTTTTTCAAATACATCAAAATTGTATTAATTATGTAGCTCTTGATTTCCTGTAATGCAATTTCAACCCTGATTATTTTTATTCTTATTCCAGTTAAGATTATGTTATATAGATGTTATGACAATAATAATATAACGAATTAATTCTAGTTAAGATTTTTTTTTAAACTTAATATTACAATTAGTCTAAACGGTTACACAACGTGTTAAGGATATGTAAATGACAAATTCAGCTTTACAATAGAATGAAATTATATTATGTAATATTATTGGAACAAATAAGAATTTTAGATACTATACTTATGAATTGGTGTATACACATATTACGTCAAAGAGTAGCATTTACACCTAAAACTCTAAAAGGGCACAAGCTCGACACAACGCCCTTCTAAACTTAAAGTGAACTTTATCGTATGTTTATTCCCCAAATAAAACGCAGACAAGTTTTTTTTGTAAAATAAAACATTTTTTATTTTTTATTAAATCGATACTTTAAAAAGTATATTTTTACCAAGTTACCATTCTCTATTTCATATTTAATATAAACAGTAAAATATATTTTACAATCTAAATATACAGGTTTATTTGTACATTATTTCAAAATAAAATAGAAATTCAATTATAATATGTTTGTATATACAATTTTTTAGGATATTATGTTGTTACCTATTGTTTAAATATGTATAAATTTTGGTATGACGAATCACAAATATAGAAAATACATACCATGGTAATATGCTGACCACGTATATTTTTGACCATTGAACTGTTTTTCGTTGAATGACGAACATTGTGTTTCACGAAAATCTGTATTGTTCGGACACGGCTAAGAAACAAAAACAATATTGGTTAGTAGTTAGTACTATGTATATTTGAGATATTATTTTTACATCAATTTTGATCAGTAAAAACGTTAGAATACAAACTTAAAATTATAAAAATAATTTTAAAGGGTTGTAAAAAGTTTGACATATTAAATTCAAATATACTCTGTGGAAACAAAATTTGTTGAATTTTTTAAAACTAATTCTAATATTGTTCAACAACTTTGATTTTCAAGTACAAGTTGAAAAGAAGGGCCTATGTCAGGTATAAATTGCATGTATTAAATAATGTAGATTACAATATTGACGTGATCTTTGTTTATCAGTACCTCATAGTACTATCAATTTTTGATAGTACTTGAACTTGAAACTAATCATTAAAGAAAAATCAGAACAAAAACCACTCTTTTAACAGATTTTTTTTGAGAAGTGGGAATAAAAGTAAATAGTTTTAAGAAGTATAATTTTTTTTATTTTTATTATCAGAAAATATATTTAAAAAATCTATACAACAGTGAGTACAATAAGTTAATGCGGTGAAAGTTATATACATGTCATTAAGCAATTATCATTGAAGTCTCGAGACACTCAGCAATATTACCCGGCTAGGAAGAAGTATAATAAATATTTAAATGCAAAAAATATATAATATGTGTACGACTTAGTAAAAAAAAATAATTTCGTTTTTTTCACAAATTTATAATAAATTAATAATGAAAACCAAAACTGTTTTTTTTTTTGTAAAATTTGATTATTATGTTACGGTTTTCTTGAACTTGTAACACATTTGTTTGTAACTTATTGGCTTCATCATAAAAACAAAAGCTTAAAAACCGCGATTTATATTTTTAACTAGGTACTTATAAATATCTTATATCTATCGTTATATTAAAAACTAAACGGAAGCGGGAAGATTACAAAAACTATGGCTGTTATGAGACGCGTTTCGAAAAGAAGCCGGATCGATTTATGGCCGTGGACACAATAAATCGCTTTCGGTAGTATATGACAACGTTGCGAGTGATTTATCATTGTATGTGCATGTGTGTTTAGATAAGACGAAGGAGACAAAAACGATATGTTTCCGAACAATGTCGATGAATGGAAATTAAAATTCAGAAATAATGGTAATAATAATAATAATAATAATTTAAAAAAAACACTACAAAATGTCACGAGCATTGTCTTAGGAAAGTGCATATACCATTTTCATACGATAAAAGACCATTCATCGTCAGTTTTTTGCCGCCAACCCGGTTTTAAATGTTCTTGTAATTTTTTTCGGTTTCGAATGAATTGACAGTTTTGTTAGACGTTTTTCACACGCGTTCAAGACGACGTAGTATTACTAATATAATAATTTATATACTGATTAATGTAATTCGACATAACTCTATTGGACTTAATAGAGATTGGCGTGTGTCATAAAGAGGGTTTGTCGGTATATTAATAATAATAAAAATATTATATTTGTTAGAAAAACTGAAGGCGGCGGCGACGACGCACGCTACTATAATAGAATGTACAAAACGTTTGACTCTTATTTAGTTGACAACAAAAAGGATACGGAAAGCAAAGACGACCGTCGGCAAGACATAAATTACAAATAATAATATTAATGTGTAGTAATTGTGTGAAGTTTTCTTTTTGTTGAAAATCTTAGTTGATAAATTATTACTTGTAAATAGAAAAAAATGAAGTTTCCCTAATGTCAAAACAAAACGTGATGTTCGTTCGTGTGTCAATGCGAAGGGTCCATTGCTGTCAACTCAGTAAAAAAAAACTTTTAAAAATGCGCCGGTTTTTCTTTTGGGACAAACGAAAAATAAAACTCTTTAAAAATCCTTTAATGATATAATGTTTTATCCTGTTTCAGTGCAACTTCATACTATTCAGTGACATTTTTTAGTTCGACGTACCATGTGGCGTTTTTGTTTTTAGTAGTATTGTCAACAAGATCGATTATGCTTTGGTATGTTTTTTTATTAAAAAAAAAATCTTGGCATTTACACTGAACCAACTTTACATATTATAATGTTTTATACTCTTAATTTTCGGCCGAGTGATTCATTTTTCAAATGAAATGAAGATGTTTGAAAAACTATTGTTCATTCATGATCTCCTACCTACTGTAATAGTATAGTATTATTTTTTATGTGTAGATTTTTTTAAAGAAACTTAATTTATAGAGGTCAATATTTAACAACTTTTTTTTTTGTATAATGCATTTGAAATCGAATTTGTTTATCAAAATTTATTTTTTTTAGATAAAATAATAAAATAATAGGCAGTTTATATCAATAAAATATACAATACACATGTTTGAAATAAAAACTCAACAACACTAAGTTACATGACTAATTTATTGCATCATTAGAAAAAATGAGTTACACCTTTTTTATACTTAAAAAAAAAAAATACTATCTCTATTTTTTACATCAAATCTTAAATCATTTAAAATTGAAATTCTTTACTATTGTTAGGAAAGCGAGTAAGGTAGTTGTATCAACCCCGAAATTTACTTGACATATTATCAATGTAATTTCCTAAACTTGTTTAACATGTTTATAAAATTAGTTAAATAGCCACTAGCATTTCATTTGGTTCCAATTATTATCATCACTCTAAAGTCTTAATTTAACATTTAACTTCTGAAATATACCAGAATAGTAATACAAGGAATAACTTACATGGAAATTAAAAACATTCGGGTGGTCTAAATTACATTGGCCTCAAGGCTTGTAGGCGTTGATTTTAACATACCTAATAAACTAATTATTATTTTACATTATCATTATAAAACGATATATATATATATTATATCTTATAAAGTAAATAGAATATATATATATATACAAATGTTTATTTGTCATTCTCCCAAATGGAAGCTGAAGACTATATGATAAAAATTCACTTTTTTCTATGCCACCACCAGAGAAGTTTATTTAAAACTGGTTGTTCATTGGTTTTAATCATATTATTATCTATTACTTTAATTGTTTTAGCTCGACTGTCTGAATATGTATAATTAATTTAATGTAAGTTAAATTACGAGGTTAATTAAAATTATGATAAGGAGTAAGGATTATTTATATTCAATTTAGTAATTTATTAGTTTAAATAAAAGTAATAGTTTTTATACCTATTGATATAATTTATAATGACAAGTATTATTTAAGGTGCTCATGCATGTGAGATGTAAAGGACCCAGACCCACGAAAGAGGTTTTCATAGAAAGCCGGCCTTGGCGTCGACACGAAATACCTAAGACGTTTTGGCACCCTGACCGCGTGTCGTTGTTACCTCACACGAACACTTCTTAACAACAATGACCAGTCATCCTGACCAATGTCCCTAAGTCCTCGTGTACATGCTTTCTTCGGATGATTAAAGCCCTCCTACTGTTTCACCTTGGGTCAATACAAAATACACACGAAAATGGTACTTTGATTTATTGTACATCCGTATGTGAGTCTGAACGTGTTTATTATCAAACACAATTTATTGATACCGTGTACACCACTGCAGTATTATAATGTGCAAGCTAACAAGCAATGGCGATGATTGTAAAGGTTATCGGGGTAGGTTAGATATTTATTGAAAGTTAACTTAACGCATTGTCGTTTGCGTCTAATTAATTCCTATAGAGTTTATATTTTTTTTTAGCGTTTGAACATTTCTACCTTAGCCGCAATATTCAAATCATGATCTTTCACTTACAATATAAATTTGAAGAGGATGCCACACCACCAGCTAATTATTAAGAAGTAGGAATTAAAAGTTACCTGTTTATGTTTTATTGCATATTATGTAACTTTTCGACAAAACTTCACTTTAAATTATAATTATTGTTTACAAGTATTAGATTGCTTACATGTTTATTACAAACGTGGTATCTACTCTCTTCTGACGGATAACGACATTTGGCATCTTCTTCTGACACCCGTTTGAGCCGCTGCCTTTTGTAAAATACGTTTCTGTACAAACATAGAATAGTGTATCTTATTAAAATTGCATCATTCAATTTAACAGTGTTAGAATTGTAGAAATAAACGAGTTTAAAATTACATATTACTTTTTTAATTAATTTTAACAAAGTTGCTCTAAAAAATGAATTCTTATCACAGATCTATAAAAGAATCGTATAACAATTCTATCTTAAATTTTTGAAAATTGAACCTTTGTCCTTAATAAGTGATTGATAAACATCGTCCATTAGCATAACAGTATAAAATAAAACTAAAGTTTTTGAAGGAAAAAAATGCTGATCCTGTATTTGCGGTAAAAACATTTTCTATCGTGTTTTAATTATTAGGTACTATTATAAGGTTTAACTTTTTATAAAAAAAACTTAATCTTATGAAATATGATTTTGTTTTTAGAAAAACAATTACATTTTTTTTTTCAAATAACTTTTAACTTAACTTAAACAAGTTTTTAAAAAGCATAATTCTATAGAAAAAAGCTTTTACGCGGTCCGTATTTTGTTTGTTTAGTGGTTTTCTCGATTGTTGATTTATATAGCGATATAAATATTAATACGAATAAATATAAATAGAGAAATTATCTGGTTTTATAGCCATTTCTCAAGAACATTAAAAAGCAACTCTTGATAATTTTTAGTTTAAATGGGAATACAGCGATTTTGTTGTTTATGCTCTGGATCTTTCCTAAACTCTATTTAACCGAGCTGAATCTTTCAAACAAATAAATTTTCATTATCCGTTGGTAATAATATATTCCAGATACGAGTATGAAGTTTATGAATTATGTTAAATTATTGCATTTGTCGATAATATAAAATTGAACTTTTTATCGGTTGTAAAATATGAACTTTCCAAACGATCCATTGTTTTTTTTATCAATATTATATTTAATATTTTCGCCGAATGACCGTATTGAAGAGCCAAACATTAAATACATAAATAAAACCTTTCTAAATTCTACACTTTGCCATAAAATCGTTCGACACATCACAGAAGTGTTTAAACCCCAAGACGAATGTGTTTTTTATTAACCTCCATAAAACTGTAAATGCATTTTAATGGTACGACATTAATAACAATAATAATGATAACAATTATTGTGAGTTATAACTAATACATATCATTATCGTCACGGTGTTCTTATCATCATTACGCCCCATAACGTATCAATTTTATACATAATAATATAACGAACAGCGTAAGACCACGGATGCGTATGCTATTTTCGACCGCGACTTTTTTCCCCTTCGGTTAAAAAAAAACCGTGACGTGGCGCCTACTATCCCATCGGATGTCGACAAATATGACAAAACGAATGCATTAACGATTGACGTATCGAAAAGAGGGGGATGATCGTTTTGATATTCATCACGGAGAAGACGATCTCCAAGTTGGATACAAAAACTTATTTCATCTTGGATATTTCCTGTTCGAAGTCGTCGCGTCTAACTTTCCGATTTGATTTTCGAACAAGCGTATTCGTTGTTGGATAATATAATATATTTTATAATATAAAATGTATCTTAGAGTAATTTTGTCGGAGGGTCCATTATTCGGATAAAAAATAAATAATAATAACAATATAATGCCAGCACGGATATGGAAGACCACTTTTTTAAGTGGCCGTGTATTTTAAAAATCTACTATACGGTCATATTGTACATACAATGCAGAACGAAAATAGAATAAATGGAAAAAACAATAAGGTGGATTTAGAAAGAATACACATTGGGTGTATCACATGTCGTGATATACGCGCATATTAATGACAGTAATGCTGGGTTACAGGCAACAACAGTGTATTATTTTTCTTCTCCGTGCCGGCACCTAAACGATCAATTAGGGAGGTGGATCATCTTGTTATTATAATGTATAAACACACACACGCACATAATATTATACTGTAATGTATCCGGAAAATGTAAACATAAAATAAAATTGATACATGGTATTAAATGTTTCAAGTTGTTTTTTTTATTTTGTTTATTCTATTAAAACACCTTAAACACATATAATGATGCTAATAGAAACACCTTAATAATAGTAACATTATAAAATGTTTCAAGTATGTAATGTACTGTTTCCCGACGGGGTATAAAACTCGAGAAGTCACCCGAAAGGATCTTTTATACGCAGGTACGTAATCCACCAAATAAAAACCAATTTTTACTTTTATATAATATACAACAGTCTTATCTCTTTGATGATACGTATATCATGTAACATTCATAAACAATACCCCTTTAAACGAAACGATAAAAGATATTACCCTCCATCTAAACTATTTCAGAATAATGTCGATGCTTTTTTCTTGAAGTAAGCACCTACTTTATTTCACGATAAAACGTTTTATGGAATATTTTAGTATTTTTTAACTCTTGAGCCGTGTTTACATAGTAGGAAATTTTAATAAATCAGCTCTGGGAAATAAAGAGTATTTTTTTTTTAAATTAGCTTGGGCCTCGAAAGTTATAGAGTTTTAGAAATGTATTATGTATGTATGTTAAACATTGACAACTTATCTTGCTAATAATGAAAGTATTTGAAAGCATATTTTACCGCACAAAGTACAAACTAATATTTACTCAAACAAATAACCAAAATGTATGTGTATTTTGTGTCCAGCTAATGAATATTTACCTTTTAACATTGGCTGATTTTCCTACACATTGTCTAGTTTGTTTTGTTACTCCTAAACCACATGTTGTGGAACAAGGTGTCCAGGGTGACCACTGCGACCATTCACCCAGTTCATTTAGAGAGTTTAATTTCCAGGTTGAATTCAAGTTTAATTCTTTTGCATTGTCGTTGCCATAAATCTGAAAAAAGGAAATCACACATTTTATACTTATATTAAGTTTTCAATTCAATACGTACTAATAGATCACTAGTATTTATAATTCTCGGAGAAAAATAAAAACAAAGATAATAAATAATAATGGGTTTGTTAACAAACCATACATTTTAATGGCGTATATACTTATATATTATTTTAGGGTATAATCATGTGTGCCAATTCCGGATAGATCTGTATAAAATGAAAAATAATAATATGATTTGTTGTTATAATCCATAGATAGATCTCATATCTACCATCATTAAGCTAATAAAAACGATTACATTCGATTTCCAATGTAAAAAGTTAATCAAAAATAATTATATTATATTATTAAAATCAACAGTACCATAATAATTCTAAATGTATAGTTGAATGCTTGATTATTAAAAAAAAAAATCGACAATATCTCTATATAGATGTAGATAATAATAGTCAACAGATAAATATATCCTCGTGTGCCTTTTGTTTTTGTATATTATTTTAAGTAGTTTTAATATGAGTAGGTTTTAAATTGTAAGCGTTTGATAATAAATTAGTTGTTTTTATCCTTTTGGCCCAGACCACAGTCGTATCAGGTTAGGATACATAGATGCATTCCAGACTTAACATTCACTATTTAAAAATTAAACTTTACATAGAACTTTAACGCAAAAGTTACTCTAAAAAGTTAATATTATTTGCTAGACAATAAGCTACCTGTGGTAATAGGTGTACCCATTTTTTTTAAATCTCTGGTAATCTTTTTAATAATTGTTTGGTAATCTGATAAATACTAATAGAGATTTACTCTCTGTTATTTACCAACGGGTTAAACATTGCTATAAGGTAAAGCGTCACTCTATTTACAGAAAACGAAAAAGCATTAATGCGCAGCGACGGGTTCGGTCTACCGCGAGAACGCGATCCGTCACCACGGCTTCTATGATCGGTACGCCACTTATTACTATGATTATTATAGCAAACCCTTATAAATATGTTGTGATGCGGGTAAAACAAATAATTTTTTTAAAAAATAATTACTTTGGCGATGAAAATGCATTTGCAAACCAAAATTTAGGCTTTTGAAAAATCAAAAATATTAAGTATTATAAGTCATAAATAACTAGAGTCTATGTCTCTAGTAATTAAAGCTAAAATCTCTTAAATGTAAATAATAGCTATACAACTGCGCGTTGTAAAAGTTAGACAGAAATGTTAAACACCACTATGGAATTCTCTATGCCATGTTAGTGTACGAGCTGAAAACTCAGCTTCTAGTCACTTTTTGTCGAAAAATTGCCAATACTTTTACTCCTTAATAACTAGGTGGTGTGACGCCCTTTAAACGCGTTGTATACAGTAATATTCCAAGTACTTTTAAATATGGGTTTGCCGACACCGATATGCCAAAAACAATAGGCTCGTTAACCTATATAATTTTGTCGATATTTTGATTCGCGATGAATGGATCAATGAAACCCCAAACTGATACGTTTCCGACTCGTTTACGCTGGAAAGTAATAGCTGTTAAAAAGTGCGTGTGCGGCAGGTGGAGTCGGTTACGGGTCGACGATCAACGCGCTAGAGATGCACTTAAAATTCTAAACACTTCCTGGACTAGAAATCATGATGAATAAAATATATCTGTATAGTGCATGCACATTGCAGTCGGAGAACAATAGACGAGCAATGCAATTAATCCAATACAAAAATAATATAGTAGGTGACAGTTTACGGAGACACCCTCTGACCGTTGTTTACTATACATTTATATACAACACGGATTTTATGCTTATAGTATGAACTATAATTTAATGATTTTATATTTTAAGTCAAGGCTTCAAAAATTAAAACAAATAAAATATTATAAAAGAAATTATTTATTATAATGCGTCGTTCAGGTTTTTTATTTGATTGTCAAAATTTATAATTTTATTAATTATCATACACGTTTGTTTGTTGTCGGCTGCCATCATACATAACTAGGTAATTTAAATTAAGCGTATAAAAATATTAGTTCACTTACAATTTTTTTAAAGAACAACCTATTCTCATTTCTCACCTCCAAAAATGTACTAACGTTATCGTTATTGACATGTAAAACTACTATATTTTTACTTAACGGCATTCAAAAATGATGTATACCTACCTAACATTTTATTTTTTTTAAAAATCATATATATTTATACAAATACCTGTAGGTATATATGATATTATATGATAATTTTTCCAAGTTATTGTCTAAATAATTATTATTCATCAGTTAACCTTAAGCACACATACTATTTTTGAGCATATTATATGTATAGATACGCGGGGGACATTATTTTTATGTCAATATACTCATGACGCCTTGTGTACACATCCTTAAAAGTATTGAGTTACTTATTAGAAACTCTTGCGTGGATACGTACAATTTATTATTATTATAATTCGCCTAAAATATTATAACATACAATAATATCCCTTTACTCTATGGAATAACGTTTTTATTGTTAAGTTTTAAGCTAACGACGAGTCGGTTGGATACCTGTACTCGTATTAGGTACAACGAGCAATTTTAATATGCTACGTTAACGTGCGAAAGGGGTATAACAAATGACGCATTACCGATTTGTGCATGTCACACTCTATCGGTGTTGATCAAGACACGCCTTTCGCGGATGCCTGTTCTCGCGCTTTAATTGTGTCGAAAATAGATGTGTCGGTCGGCAAAGTGAAATTTGATAAATTAAAATTAAAAAAAATGTTTCTCCCCCCACCCGTTATGTGTATATGGATATAAATGGAATTATAAGCGAGCCTGTCAACGTTGACAAACTACCAGTCATGGCTCACTGGATTGACAAAAAATAATAGACACAAAAAACAACATTGGATCCGGTCCAACCTTTTAATACGAAATTATTCCGCCCAAATAACACATTAATATGCTCTCGATACATAAACCCATACGTGCGACGGCCATCTCCGACGAATCATTTAATCCGTATATGATATTATTGCCCTCGATTAAAAGTCTACCGCATTCCGTTTTGGGCGCATACTTCAAAATTTTGGAACAGCTTGCGGCATATAATGGATGTCGGCTAGATTTAGAATGAAGATGACCAAACGATGGCCATTATTTTTAACGTCAAAATATGGCCGAAATTAATTTATGAATAACTTTTCTCTTTTAAAAATCAGTAAATATACATATTCCACTAATTGGAAGTAAGTGAATAAAAACAATAGTAAAAAAAATGCACCTACCTAATGTTATATTTTTACTTATACAGATGTGGGCAATCGTAAATGAAGAGCGGAAACCTCAAATCAGTATTATTGATACAAACATGTGAACCGTTCTATTATTATTATTCATGCTATTAGTTATTTTTACATATATTACCATAGGAAATCAAAATCGTATTGTTTATTTTACATGCATTCCCTTAATAAAAAGATTTCACACACCGCTCACCGTTGAGTGTAGACATTTTTCGTTAAATATGAATGTTGAGCAAAAATGATTTTGTATATTTCTTAATCTAGTATTGAGATTTATTTTATTGGTAGTAATTTTGTTTATTAGACTAGTACAGCAAAAATTAGCTCTCCTTCTCTAAGTACAGCTACTAAAAATTCAGAGAGAAAATAGTTGTTTAGCTTTTTGAAAAAAATGATACTAAAACTGTGCTTTCTCTTAGATATGATTAAAAAATTAAGGCAATATTTTTATTTAAAAAAATAGTTTATTCTATTAAATAATAAATACTAAAAAATATAATTTACATACATGCATTTACATACATTTAATGCCCATTACCACCTACATTTCCTTTACAATAATTAACCTAAGGAATACACTTTAAAAATTTACTGGTTTATATTAACATTAACACTTTTTGAAAAGTGTTTTACAAAAAAAAAACACAAGTAAAAGATTAGTGGTATATTAATGTATCCATTACATGGTACAATTATGTTGTAACAAGTAATAACTATATTATCACCCTCTTAAAAGCATGTCTCTATAAATTAAACACAAAAGGTGAAACACAAACACGGGTTGGATGCTGTTTACTTTGTTATTAACCCGCAAGCCATGATTTATAGTTTAAGACACAAGTGATTAACAAATCATCGCGAGATAAATAGTTCCAACAAACCTGGCGGGAGGGCTCTTGAAAAACTCGAAGTGATGTAAATATTATGTATTAAGTTAAAATAAATCGTAAAGGGAACCATAAATCCATTGAAAGTCCGTTTTTTTTGTAGTTTTAATATTATGTTGGCGTTTAGAGGTTCAAAAACAGAGGTTAATTAGACATCCGCGTGGGCAGGTAAATTACGGAGTGTACTTATACAGAACCCGAGAGACTCGCAGAATAATAGACCCGATTTCGAACTTAGTTTCACTTTTTATATTATATTAATCATAAAAATAAATACTCCACCTTCAAACGAACAAGTCGTCTGTTTGGTTGTTAAAAGAATGATACTACATTTAGACTAAAAGGTTCTATGTCGATTTTTTAAACTTAGCCTATGAATTTGCTTGTGTACTTTGAAATTTTACATGAACACAAAAATATAAGTTTAGTTAATTTATGTCTGTGTAATTAAAAAACTAAATTTCTTCTTTAAATATAATGGACACTATAAAATATTTAGATCGATCACAACCAAAGGTGTTATGTAATATGAAATCTGTGTACTATTTTTGGTTTTAAAAATGATACGATTTCCTTGAAAGATGTAGTGAGTGAGAAGCACCTACTGTTTTCAGATATTTTCCTTGTGGCGTTCCGCTAAGGTGTTAACGACTCACGGCTTACGGATGGTTCGTAGAGTATTCGTTTAAGTTGTTGAGACTCAACGTCATTGTGGGTGACCCTTATCAATCAAGATTTCAGGTAGAAATCCCTGAAGGCTTCAGGCTCGGTGTCAGCGTACATTTGTGATCTGTTCGACCTCCAAGGACGGTCGTCGGTCTCCCTGTCATTTATGTACATTTCCTCCCACCGTGCCGTGCGGCCAAACCAAAGATGGCCGATGGGTCAAGACAGAATCACGATGACACCCACACGATTGTTTCTATAGGTATACAAGTAAGACGATAACGACGATGAAGATATAAGAAAAAAAACGTACTCACGCCCGCAGCGCAAAACTCGGCCCCCGCGCAACTGTACCTACGTTTGGCCGGACCTACCGACGGTGATTACATTGGCTTTCAGTCGGTATAAATCATCCGGATGACTTCCAGCAAGCACAAGCGCCAGACCTTCCTGTCATTTTGTGTTCATATAATGCACGACAGCAAACAAGTGACAGGATTGCGTAGCAAAATAAATACACTTGGCTCAAGTGACTTGAGTATATCAAGTGCAAAGAGCGTGTAAGCGCTGTGTGTATATAATGTAAATATGATAATCGACTGCGACGGAAATCAATTTCACTGAACGACAATAATCTTTTAACGTACAAAATTCTGACAAACTACTACTCAATAGTCATTATTTCCAAGTTATTTTTATTCGAACATATATTTTATTATTACTCTGAAAATTATCATAAATGTGCAAAAACGGCTTAACAAATTGAAACTGACACGACAAGAACCGGTAGTAACTGCGAAGATTAATTTGCATTGTACACACAGGAACAAAAAAATCCACGATGTGATTACCGAACTAAATGTGATAGTTTATTAAAATTTAAATGGATGTACCCAACATTATCGAAGTCGTTAGACACTTTCTTAAGTTAGACAAACTAATTCGAAATTACTTGTCTTTTTTAATTTGTTCCTACGTGTAATGTTTTATTTGCTACACGACTAACGTACTCAAACGGAAATATATGACAAAATAATAAAAAATGATTCTATAAGCAATTCAATATTATCTGCATACGATTTTCAATAATAGACATGTATGCTAACTATAAGAATTCTGATAAAATATGTTTAAAAAATAAATTCACCTCCTTTTCATCATCAAAGATGCATTTTATAAACGAAAAACACGGATACTGGAAAATGAAGTATATTCGTATATAAATATATAATAATAAAATATACATACTATAATATAAAGCAATTACAATGGAACACTACTTGGTAGAATTTTAATTAACTTTTTTTTTATTTAACGATAATAAATCAATTTAAAAACGGGTTTTATTTTATTCTAATTGATTTAAAACTTTGATTATAAAATAAACTGAGAAGACACGAATACAAATCAATATGGTGTACGTAAGTGTTAAATTAGATTAAGAGATATGAATCATTTGATCTCGATTTGTCGGTCTAATAATAAACGATTTAAATTGAATTAGTTACATTCTCCATTCACTAAGTATAAAAAAACAAGATTTTTGGCCAAGACGCGCAGATAGGAATACGTTCATTAGAATCTATCAAGTACTAAAGTAAACATTGAAGATAAGTCTACTGTGTTTAAACTGCATTAAATCACTGGATATCCTTAGAAGGTTTATTGCTGTTTGACGTTTACATATCCCGTTTTCTGAAATATTATCTTAAGAATAAGAAATCGGCAAACAACATAGAGTTTATTTTATTTATGAAAGATTAAGTGAATTTTCTAGTCGTTTTAATAATTATTTTAAATGTAAATTGACCTCTGTAAAGAGTAAGTATACAATCCAGCGTTTTTTTAATAGTAATCTAGGCAAGTTTACCTTTTCAACAGATATACCATAAAACCGCTATACACTTCATTCATTAAAGAAGAAAATGTGTTTTAAATAAACTTCACTCATTCAAGGTCGCCGCTTATAATATTTGTATTATGTTGTTCGGTCACCCATCCCTATTAAATTATGACCAGGCGGTACAATCCAAGAGCAATGACTTTCTAATGAGATGTTTCAATTCTTGGATGAAATTATCACTCGAATGACAATCTGTTGGCCACACGTTGATTCTCGTTATACACCGTTGAATATTATAATTTATATAACAGTAATAATACATACAACACAACATTATACACACAAACACCCGTAGAGGTGGCTGATAATAGCTTATTTGTTTTATTGTTTACAATATTTTATTCCTGTTTATCAAATGTACTGGTTAATAACGCACAGGTACGCATAGGCACGTCATGATAGCCATAACTTGTACAATAATTAAGAAAATCCGCCTACTATCAAATTGATAGCGTTATTCAATACAAAACTCCGAACACGCATACACACTTTAACATGTTAATAAACCGTAGAACCTAATAATTCCTATTCTTAAAGACAATATTATTTTACCAGTCTCCAGTGGTCAGCTTATCAAATAGGACTTTACAAAATACATAGCATACTTTCGTCGCATTATTGAAAATTAATACTTATGAAAAAAGTTCATTTATAATATTTCAATTGTTTTTCAATACATCTTCAAGTATTTTAATGACATGGTTTTGAACAATTTATATAAAAACGAGTCTGTTAACACTGTTCTACTTTTTGTACTATTGTTTTTAGCTTCGGTTGTTTTCGTTTTGATCAAAGAGAACAAATAAAATAATTATGCAAAATGAAAATGTTGAATAAAAAACTTGTATTAATACTTACAGCAATTATTCCAGAACGTTTCTGATTTGCATTCGTCCTATCCGAGTTATAAGCTTTGGTTACAGTAAATGATACTATTAACAACCTGTTAACATAAAAATAAATACAAATTATAATGCATAAGCTAAGAACTAAAATATTAGTAATTTTTTTAGCTTAGTTTTTTTAAATATTCAAATTTATTACACGCTTAAACAATATAATTTTAAGCTTACCAACATTATGTGATAAATCACCTTTTAACATTAGCGCTCCCAAAATCTAAAGAAGGTATACATAGATAAGAGCTAAAAATATGCTATTTAATTTTCTATAATAAGAATATAAATAATCTACTTTTGAAGATAAATTAGAGGAATGACACTTTATTTAAAAAAAATTAAGAAATTGTAATATTTTGTTAATTTTTTAGTGGGTATTGGTGTATTAGTTGTTAGTGAATACTCCTTTATATTTGTTCAGAACTTTAGCACAATCTATCTACCAAAATCATTTTTTATTTACTTTTAGCAAGACATTAGTCCAATAAACTAAACCTAAATGAAGTTTTAGGCACAAGGTAGTTACTACTTAGAATCGACCGACTTAATTTCTGTATTAAAGTCCTAACCCTTAGGGCCTTACGTACTGCGTGTACACCTTTCTAAAGCACATAACATACCTATAATTTTTTTAAAACACACGGCCTATCTGTAATAATGTCTATACAACACAATTTTAATTTATAGGCTAATCGACCATTGCCAATCAAATAAAACTTTAGAGTTTAGTCATTAATTAGTTTTTGCTAACACTGGTACTGCTGTTATGTTTTTCCCCTTTCCTGTGTACGCATTGAAATAGATACACGTTAAGGCTGGACAAAAAAAAATTACCATAAAAATTATAATTCGTGTTTTGACACATTATTGGTTGCGTGCATCTCATTAGGGATACGGTGTATGCAAAGCACCGAGTAAGGTCAATAAATAAAACGACAATACGCCTACTGACACCATGCTGAAATGATCACGGTTACACGCGATCGAGAAACTCTTCACCAGTACGGTCTGTCCGTTTTGATTTTGGCCACCGGCGTTTCAAAAGAAAAATATACATCTTACATGAAGACGTACCTCCCCTTGCCGCGTTTCACGCTAACACCCACACGTTATTTCTCTGAATATTATACCTAACCGCGCTACTAGTCCGCCGGTAAATAATAGCCCGGTCAAACAACTTGCGCAATAAAACTATTGGTGGGAATTGTTTATTTGGCTTTTATCGCGTTATAAATTTGTCTAAACAAACTACTGCAATACTAATCCTAAACGTATATATTCTTACAGCAAACGCTTGCGGTTAATGTTTCTATGTAAATAATAAAAAAAAAAAAACAGTTAAGTGGGGTCGGGCATAGTGGAGACGGGGAGGTCACAAGTCTACAGGAAATATTATAACTGAAAATGATAAAATCACCTTTAAATAAACGCTTCGATGCGAGTAAGTGGATAGTAGGTTTAAACCAAGTACAATATAAACCAGTGCAGTAAGAAAATAGTATACGTAAGTGAGTAAGTGAAGGAGGTTAAGTGTTCTCGGATAAAAAATTCAAATATCGATAAAAGTATTGTACCTAATAACAATTATGTACTTTAAAATACATTTTTAGTATTAGGGTGGATATTATTAGGGTTGAACGTGAAAGTATCTTTCAGGTTTCTGAACTATGGAGTTCCTGCACGAAGAAATCGGTCCAAAAGATATCGTGGGTCACGACAAAAAAAAAATTAAAAAATAAAAACACATCATTGTACACACAATGATGTGTTCTTCTATCAGATACCTTCTTAGCTCCGTGTCGAAGCTAAAAACATATATCTGCGGCGCTATCAAATAAAATGACTTCCTTTTTATTTTATTGGCAAAGTTGGCCATCGAGCTAAAAAAATGGTTTCTCAAACAATTAATGTAATAATCTCAAAAATTGAAAAAACAGATTTTCTTTTCGATAACAACACACATTTACAAGTTTTGTTTTAAATCATTAAGATTCTACTTTTTGGTATCCACTATTTGTATCACAAATACAATTCATATTTTTAACTTTAAAATCAACTAAAGTACTGTCATTGAATTGACAATAGATATCTACTTCGCTTACATTACCTCGCAAATAATTTACTCGAACAGTGTAATCTTTATATACTACCATAAACAACGGAATTTTAAGTAATAGTCATCAATTAGGAGATAAGTATTTCAATTATTTAAGCTGCAAATAGGAAATTTAAACGTCGCCCGCATGCACACTCAGTTATCTTATTTCTATTAGCACAATTATTTTTTTTCCATAGACCTACAGACCTACATAACACCACAGGGGTGTAATAACATTTTTTTTTGGGGGGGGGGCTGGAGCCCTCTCATCCACCCCCATAAATACGCCCCTGTTAAAAACCATATTAAAATTAACATTTTAGTAAGTTATACTAGATACTATGCATTGATATTATGTTTAGACAAAAAGTACTTTTAACTTGAACACTAGATACTGTTATGTTATCCTTCTGATAACACTTTCAATCGTCGTTTTATATTTTGTCATTTATCTTCATGTAATACTATATAACTATATTATTTATAGAGCAGACTATACTGTGATGTGCGAGCACTATACTCAATTCAGTCACCATAACGCACAATATTGTTTCAACAAGGGCGTGGGACAAGTGCATTTTGTTATTAGGTACCTACGAGAATGCTTGAACGTGATACTCCTAAACGTTAGAGGTTAAAAATTATAAGCTTGTAATTCACATGAGTCCCCCGCATTATAATGTATGAACTATATTATTAAATTACCAGTGGACCGCAGTCGGTTGATGCCGCTCCGGGTGCAGTCTCTTTCTAAATAGATTTTTTTCCCGAATAAAACAGATTATAAGTCTCGGCTGATCGCTGTACCATCGGAATACATCTTCGCATTACCGTATCAAATCATAATTTGTAGTCAGCACACAACATAATCGATACTGATATTAATAATAATAATAACTCGTTTAAGGCGTATCACATCTATGTCTCCCATCGACGATTCTCGTCAAATAACTTTCTCATCAAAACGACCACGTTAAAGCGTTTGTATTGTTATTTCTTAACGATTCAATAAAATGTCCACTCTAAACACTAATTCTTCCTAAAAATAATAATAACAGACCTGATGTGTATATATTATGTATCAGCTAAAATTTAATTGGCTACCTGCATCAAGTGTTTCTAACTTCTGTTATACAAAAACATGTATAATATATTTAATAAACACACATTTCAACCAAAACGTCATGAGCACGATACCTTAACGCTAGGCTGGGATACGACTAACACTTATACACATGGCACATAGTATTTTAAATGCAAATTATTAACTTCAAAAACGTACTATCTTGTTTTACATCTCACGATTAATTACAACACGAACACAACATTAAAATGCATAATAATCTCTAAACCGTTTTTATTGTCTGGACCCACGATAACTTTTTAGTTTTTAACCATTCAAAGAAAATTATTCATATTATACGCTATATATGGTAAAAATTTAGAGAAATTCATCTTTCCTCATTAATATCATTTTTTTTGTTACAGTTTTAGGGTTAACCGAGAGAGGACTGAACATTTTGACTTAACTCTAATCTAGTGCGTATAGGGCACACCTCTATTAACTAGTTTATGTAAAAAAAACTATACGTTCAAGTTTTAATTATTTTTATCGCTTTCATTCAGAACATTGAACAATTATTAATAGGTATAGACCACCCCGACCACATAGTTGTTTATTTTATTTCATAGTAGATTCCCATAACCTAATGACAATATAACACTTACATTTTAACAGTAAAATTCTTGCCAAGTCCGCAAACTATAGTAGACTGTAGTGTAGACCGACGGTTGGTAAAAGTTTAATTGTCGTGAAAACGCACTACCAGGTCAAACAATTAAATATAGTACAAGACAAATTACGATTACAGAAAAGCATACTTTATGTGTTCCTTGTCGGGTGCAGGTCAAGAACTTATCGTTTATTTGTTTAGAGTTAAGTCAAGCAGAAGGGTTGATTCAGGCGTAACGATTGCCTCGCAAATCATTATAATTGCTGATAAATGAAATAGTAATTTACAACCCAAAAGAGCGATATTTCCTCCACACGATTGTACCATTATTTGTCTACTATTGTCCATCCCGTCGAATAAAATGGTTCGTGTTCGGTTGGCTTTACGTAAATTAGACGATATTAAAACTAATAACTGTTTATTTTTATGTAAAAAAAATAGTCTCGGGTTTACTTTATATTAGTATAAAATAATGGTTTACAATGTAAAACCATAATCCTGAGGTGTGATTAAAAAAAAACAATATACAATGACAACGTTGTATGAATTCAAACTTAAATAGTTACTTTTTTTGTACCTACTTTACTAATATGAGTACTTAAATGTTTAACTAATGCAAATTAAACCTAAAAATATAACAAAAATAAATACAAATTTTAATATTATCTTAAATCGATTTATTTTTAAAGATAAAGAAATAAGTAGATAAACAGTAGCTAGAAATATATTTTAAAGGGCCCTGTTTAAGGCTTAAAAGACATATATTACAACAGTCGTCAATTACAGTGGCCACCTACATAAATAATTATAAAAACAATTTTGGGGAAAGGCCATGCGCCTCTAGTACACCTCCTGGGTACGGCATTGCTCTTTTTGTCAGGAGAACTGCAAAAATTACTTTTATTTTTACCTATGATATATAACATAGATAAATAAAGTCATACTAACTAATGAATCTATATTACAAATATTTATTTGTTTTTACAAAGACAGTAATATAAATAGGGTTATGAAATTTTGAATGTGCTCAAACTTCGTCATCATTTTAACTAAATTAATTATTAAACTATAGTCTAAAAAATGAATTATAACGTACAGAACCGATTCAAAATGGAGTTAGCCGTACTTTTTAAACAAATTCTATCAAATATTTATGATTATTATTGTTTCTTATTGGTTTTTACTACACTTGCGTTTCATAGTAGATAATATAAACGGTTTTTAAAACACTTTTGCTACTGCGACACAAACCGGAAAACTGTAGTAAATAACCAATACACAACAATTAGCACTTGACGAAATTTATAAAATCCCTTTAAAATTTCATACATTTCTCCGTTATTATATTGGCGGGTGGTAAATTTAGCGGCATTCGTGTTTCTTGATTTTTTTTAAGACAAGTAGAGGGTCGCCGTGACGTTAACAAACGATATCGGTTGGTATGTTTATACTAACCACAAATCACAACTATAATAATATAAAATGGGTGTGCAATAAAATCCAAAAGGTAGGCGTGTTTTGCGGAAATCCGTTTAGGTGTTAAATACATACGAATTAAGCTACACCGTACAAATGCACACGCGCGTAACAGGTCAATTAAAGTACATTTTTTGCCACGCAGGAATAAACTAATAAAACGATTTTCTATTATTTAACGATAATTAACACGTCATAACGCGGACGAGGATGAGATTATAAAACGATAATATTGTTAAAAACTCGTAGAAAAATTCCATTTGACAGTGAAATTAAAATCGTTCGATCTCAAATACGCCCCGTGGTCTATACCGTAGTTAACCCGTCAAGCAGTTTTTAAGTTGTTAAAATTTGTCAAACACGATGTTATTACATATTTATTGTATCTTTTAAGTTACAGTTACCTAATACCTAATTTATTAGACGGATAGTCTATACAAACCAAAATTAGAAGTTTCTAAACTAAATATATTTATTCCGTGAAAAGTGAAAATAACGAGTACATAGCAGAAAAAAATGTAATTATAATAATTTTCGTAGAGTACAGACATATATTTTAATATAATTTATAGCAACATACCTACTATGTGAACTAAAATTGCGTACGTTCCTAATTCATTTTTTAATTAAGGTGGGTACTATAAAGACATGAGTACATATTTTTTATTATACTCGTAGTTGTTTTTTTTATATTTTTACTTGTAAATTCAGTAATGAAATTCTCAGACGAATTATACAAACGTACATAGAGAATTACGTAAATTATTATGTTAACTTTCAAACTTTAAAATATCAAAAACCTGCGTTCTGATGGAAAAATATAGATTTTACCTAATACTGGTAGTTCCCTACTAAAGATGATATTTATGTAAATTGTAATCGTTCCTGTTATTGTTTTACCTAGGTATGAAATTACCCAAGTACAAATTTTTCTCATTGTTTTGCAATTTTAGCGGTTATACCGCTATAAGAATAAAAATTAATTTAAATATAATAACGATTACGTTGTTTTTATAAAAACTCTTTCGCATCGTACCTATTTTCAAAAACGGCAATTATTCAACGTAGGTAATATAATTTTATACGGGCGGTAACTGAAAATCTAAATAATTATAAATATCTCACCAAAAAAGTCCAGTACATTCCATGTCGTCTCGGTACAAATTTACTATTCCATGATGCCGAAAACCCCAAACGAATAAACAGCCGTATGTGAAATTCTCCAAAAACCGATTTACCTACATAATAACAATATAGCGTTTTCGAAAATCAACGACTTGCACGTGACCAACGTATATGCCTGCATGACGACAGCGCACGTCCTTCTCGCGGTGTAATATTCATGTGTGTGTTTGTTTTTATGATAAAGCCCGGCACGTGCGACGCCAAGACCAAAACTGAAGAGTCCCAACCGGCGCTGCCGACTGCCCCGCGATGTGCCCCCCGAAACAGCTAAACTCTTCTTGTCCATTTTTCCCCCTCGTGCACTTCAATGACTACACGACAGACAGTAAGGAAAAAATATTTTGTCGTATTTAGGCGAAATTCTTTATTAAGGGGAACGGAAAGCGTCAATTACGCTTACAAATAAAGACTAAAACGCGGAGTCATTTTCTGAAGTTTCGTCTATCAATAATTTTTGTTTTGTTTTATAGTTTAACATTTTCTCTATGGGGGCTAAAAGGCCGATTTTTTATTTTTGGCTATTAGATCAATAATTTTTGTCGAATATTGCCTATCCTTTTCCCCTTAATAAATAGCGCTCTCCGTTCCCCTTAAGCCCATAAAAATCTTATGTCCTGCCGATACTGAAAAAATGTATAAATACCGCAATACAAATTATAATATTATAATAGGTACATGCGTATTATACTACCTACATATATTCTCTACGAGTCCTATGCGACTTTGCAGAGAGTACTATACACGTAATACAACACATTTCTAGTATGTTATTGAGAATAGTATTAATTAAAATATAGTATTAGTGTTAATCCGGCATCAAATTTAAAAGAATTGTATTCTATTTATTAAAGAACTTTTCCGTTTCAAAATAACAGCCATATATTTTAGTACTTACATTTTTAAACTTAAATGTCAAGTGAGAATTGAGATACTAAAAAGACAAAATTTAACCTTGTATGTAAAATAATGTCTTCGGCGAAAAAAGTAATCTATATATTATCCTAACACATTTTAAGACAGATATAATGTATGATTAACGATTGTTTTTGGAAGAAAATAAAAAACAATAACAAAGCTATTTTCAATAAACTAGGCAGTTATTATTAATGAAATTTAGTTACACAAATAAGGTGCAGGCGCGAAAATTATAAGACTGACAGAACTACTAAAACGACACACTATAAAAAAGTTGTTGAATTAGGCATTTTAGATACCTATTCAAAGATAACAAAAGAACTATTTTATTGCTCGTCGACTCATACTAAACTAACTTTACAATAGGTACATTATACATTTATAATAGGTAATTGACATTTAAAATCAATGAACACAGTTTTAAGTGTAATAACTATTACCGAAAATCGACATATATATTTTTATTAAAACATAACTTTTGATAATAAATTGTTTTCTATTATAAATAAAATTTAGAAAACAGTCAAGTCACCATGGTAGATGAAATATAATGCTTTGAACCTAACTAACGAATTACAAAAACAAATATAGGTACATACATACATATTGAGTTCTAAACGTATTTAAATATAAAAATCTATTTAGTTGCACAATTAAAAGAAAGTTGAACATATACTGTATATACAATTTTAAAAATTAAAGAAAAGTATTGTTTTGCATAATAAAAGCTTTAGTTTAACATATTTTTATTTATAAATATAATAAATAATCATTCATTAAAAAAAAAAATAACTTAAAACATATAATTTGTGTTAAAATAATGTATTGAGCTTAACCAAAAAATTATAGAATAATATATGTTTCTAAATTCTATACTTATGTTGGTATTACTACCTAAATAAATACAAATTATTACTTCAATTAACTATTAATCATTGAAAACTTTATTAAAAGAGGATTTACTATCCAGTAATTCTCCCACGAAATATTAACAAATTATTTTATCTTTATTTAAAAAACATTGAAATTATTCAAAAATAATCAAAACAAACGAACAAAGACAAAAACATCTACATACATGAATTGTTCATACACTAATATCAATTGTTTCATTGTAACTTATATAATCCATGTAAAATTGGACTAAATAATTAATGAAAAATTAACAGTCATTGTATAATACAATTATGACAGTAAACACAAACAATGGAAATATTTAAAGAATAATTAATATTTTTTTTAACAATTTACAAACAAGTTCAGAGATAATTCTTTATATATTTTCTATAAATTATTTAGTTGTCTCTTTAAAAATTACATATTTAGGAAGCATTAACTTATAAACTAAAAATCAATATTACTTTAGGTTTTTGACTAACATATTGACTTCCAATTTTGTTCAGAAACCAATAACATTTTGTCCCATAAATATCTTGTTATTTTATCTGCAGATTTTTCTTCTGTATTAAATTCAAAGTAGGTAAGTTTCATGGTAGCTTTATTATACATATCTGATTACACAAGTAAAGAAAAATATCAGTAATGAAATTTATAAAAATATTATTTGCCACATCATTTTAGATAATACTGTCTCATCATCATCATCAGCTTATAAACAGGCCTTGAAAGCCCAACATGAGATGATGGTTTCTTAACAAATTCCAAGGTCGCCAGTCCATCCCTGGAGGGATGGCGGCTCGTTATCACTGGACGATTGCTCGACCAGAAAACGTAGTGTCTATGACAAAGTGTCGAACCAGCAACAGTGAACACCAACACATTGTAGCCTTACCCACTCTCGCTCGTCCTCCACGATAATATTGTCTAGAGTGCAATAAACAATTATTCAAAATGTTCGCATTGACTGACTTATATCATATAAAATAATACTTCAAATATATTTATGAAGAACTAGTCATCAATGTTTGAGTAGATTATTTTTAATTTTACACATTTAGCTACACTTGTATTTATTAGGCATTTTCCAGGTGATACAATATAAAAATGACATAATTTGTTGTTTTATTTTTTAAATGACCAGACAAAATATCTTATAATGTTACCTATTTATTTTTTTTATTTTCAACAATTATGGTCATTAGCTTGTTGGAAGGTTTTAAGATTGGGTCATTTAGACAAGTGCAATAATAGGGCCACCAACCTACTATTCAAAAAACAATTTATTATTTAATAACATAAATCTGATATTTCATTTGTTAACTAATTCCAAGTAAAAAAGGATACATCCTTTTTGTATAACCGCATTTGGACCGTTAGAGTAGTCAAACATTATCTTCAACATGTTTTTATATGTAACAAATGTTTTCCTGAAATAATAAAATTAATATATCAGTACATTCTTAACTATTTGAATTAGTTATAAATAAATGCTATAAAATATACAGTAGATTCTTATCATTCCTTTTTCAATGTTTTTATTTAAAAAAAAAAAATAAAATAAATTGGTATAAGATTTAATTCTTAATGTATCAAATGTTTTTTTAAGACAGCCATTTTTATAGTAAATAATGACCTTACAAAAAAAAATGATGTCTTGAATAGTAATTGGATTTTGTTAATTTATATTTTAGTTTTAAAAAAGACGACTTTAAGCATAGATGCCAATTTTTAATAGTGTCTGGAACATAGACATTTTGTTAAATAGACTACACATTGTGACTACCAAATAATGTAACCAAGATATGTGTGAGAGAAACAGAGCTAAGTTGGACGTGTTTTAACCTTATCAGTTTACCCGAACTAGCTCTTTCTTTCTCATATATATGCAATATTTGATTCATCATTATACATTATCTGTCCCAGTCAATTATATTATCATGTCTATCATGTAAGTATTTAGGTTCAACATAATAAGAATTTATTGTATATGTTAAACAACTTACTTGAGGTGTGAAAGAGCATCTAAATCAGTCGAGCTTGCCTTCATTTTGCTGTACTTCTTAATTTCAAATTCTATGGATTGAAGTGAGTTTTTTAAGCTTTCAACTTTATTTTGTAAGTCATGCTAAAAGTTAATCATTTTTTTTATTACAATTATGATACAATATTTTTAATAAAATTATACATAAGTAATTGGTGAATAAATAAACAAAAGAAAAAAAATTATAATAAGATGTTGAAATATCAAAGTGACTACACCAAAAACATGCAAAATGAACAAATCAGTGTTTAAATATCACATTATTATTTCTAATGCACAATATTTTTTTATTTACTTTAGTCTGCATCTGTAAAGCCAATTCTGACATAAGGTTAACACGTTCTTTTTCTATGCTCGACAATTCCTCTTCGCAACAAGATATTTTACTATTTGTCTCATTTAATAGGTGTTTTATTGCTAGAAATAAAAACAAATGTCAATTAAATAATTTACGATTCCTAAAGTATTAAATATTGTTATTGATAAATGTCTATTAATTGTTTGTAGACCAATAGGACATAAAACGATACATACTTTCATACTCCTCCCGAGTTTGTTCTGTCAATTTGTCACATTCCCTAAAATCAATCTTCAAGATTGGTAAAGATTCTACATTCAAATGAAAATCGTTAGTGATATTTGAAAACATTTTTAATGATATATTAAGACTATGAACAATGTAAAATACAAAATTAAAATGCAATATGCATTCACAAATCATAAAATTATTACACAACTCACATTTCAATATTACACTTTTTTGAATTGAATTGAGTTATCAAGAAATTAAAAACGGTAAACAAAACAACGGTCGACAAACATAAATCAGTGTAACCAACATTTGGAAATAACAGCGGATATTGGTAATTCATCTATTCTGTGGTTAAACTCTACTTTATCTATAGCCGTGATAACAATTAACATTATCACATAAAAATTAAACCTTGATAATAGAAAATATATTTCAAATATTAATTATTATAGTTAATCGGTAATTCTAATTACAATTCGAATCCGATTTTTTAAAATTATTTTTGTAGTAATGAGTAAACAGTAGGTAGAAAACAATTGAAAATGTTTTTGACTAATGTGCTACTTAAAAAAGTAAAATCCAAACACACCATGGTCATGATGGAAAGCATGGTGAGTGGACATACTTACAATGTATTTAGGGAACGTTTAGCTGATAAATTGGAGCTGATTCACTTTGATCCATGGATTGGTCACATGTCAGTTTACAAGGAAAAAAAGAAGATCAGAAGTGCGAATGTTAAGAGATTTACCGAACCAAATTAAATATTGTTTTAGTATGTGATCAAAATGATAGAATATTTGTGATTATATTATATTTTGTACATTAAATTAAATACATAGCTAAATAAGAAAGTGCTATTTTATAATTGTTTTTAAATTTTATTTAAGTTTCGATGTGAGTTCCATAGATAAAAACGCCTTCATGTTTGGATCTTGTATTTTATCTAATATTATTTGAGTTGTTTTATGACTATTGCTATCGGACAATATTTCCTTGACCTTTTCAGCATACTCAATCCAAACACAGTTAGCACATCCAGACATACAACATGTTGTGGGCTCTTCTGGAAGCTTGGGAATCTTGGAACAGAATGTTCTAAGAATTAACTTATTTGGTTTAACCACTCTTTTTAACATCCAATGCATTTTTAGACCTGGAAAAAAAACATAATATTAAACATATATAAAATACTACTCATATATAATGAGTTTTATAGATATGTTCTTAATGCCTATTAGTATAGTTTTGTGCTTTGCAAAATGTGTATTAATAGTCATCATTCAATAAAGTATGACATACGAGAAAAACCATATATTTCAAGATGATCTAATTTTTATTGAAATATATCCAAATAAAATATATTATGGCAAAGGTTTTAGTAATTAATGAACACAGAATCTGTTATGTTAGATTCTATTATACAGATATAAACAAAATATTTAATAAACTGAAAAAATTAGGGAACATATTTTTGCCATTACTTATTATTTATTAAGCATTGATATAATATATGAAATTAATCAGCCATGAAGATATCTGATTTGCAAAAAAACTCGAATCTTAAATATAACGTTAAGTTGAAATCCAAAAATTTTTAACAAATAATATTACAGATATTGAAATCTGCATAATGATTGTTTATTAATGGAATGAATATAGATCCATTTTTGTTAATGATATTTTGTTAAAATGTAAACATAATTAATAAAAAATAATCAATATTTTATAAACCATAAAAAAATATATTATTAAAAGTAATGTTTCTTTACAAATAGTGTTATATCAATTGAATTTATTTAGCGGTTAAGTAACAAAAGAAATAACATAATACAACTTATAAGTGAACTATAAATTTCTGTTGAAAGTTTTATTTTAAAAGTATTATATAAAATTGTGTTTCAGCAATTTATTTTGAATAACAAGCCAAAACTCAATTTCTCATACATGAGAAATCATTAATACTATTAAAACGTATTTTCATAATTGTTTGATAGCCCAATCAGTGGCATAGTATAAAAGATTTCAAGGTTAATAAATTACAACAATAACATTTTTTTTTTATCTTCAATATCTATACGAAGATTGAAGGTATAAATTTTATTTTTAACAAAACATTGTTTATAAAAAATACTTGGTAAAGGTGAAAACATAATATGTACAATTATAATCATAACAAAAAACAACCACATGACTTATTTTACTGGTTACCTCGGCCATGGCAATCACAGTCAATGTTATAATATAAAAACAGTATATTATTACTATTGTTTAAATTATATTTACATATTGTTAGGATTAAAAAAAAACATTCAATAAGTAACAAATACACATTTTATACTTTGATATTAAATCTGACATTATCCATTTTCTATTCGAGCACAACAGAAGTAAATCAAGCAATTAAATACCGCACAACAATATTTAAGCTGTACTTGTAGCACCATAACATACTGTGGTCTAGAATTAATTTTATACAAAGGCAATAAAACATTAAAAAATTAACGCATTAACCAATGCAATAACAAAACATTGTCTAAATGAGTTTAATTTTAAAGTTAATAATGAATACATATAAGAGTTTGTTAAACTGTAAATAAGTCGTTAAGTATACAATAGCTATGAAAATATTTAACATTGTTTTTTTAACTATTTGTTTTACAAAATATAAAATATTGTATATTTATTTATATATATACGTATATACATAAGTATAAATCTAATAAAAGTGATTCCGAATTATAATATTGCTTAAATACTGATTTGTGTTATAATGTACTTGTTTACAATATATTTTTTTATACATATGAATGTATATAATGGTGACATTATGTTTCAAGGTCACGTATATTAGTTTACAAATTGTAGAATGTTAATAATACATAAATACTAAAGTGTTTGAATAATGATATTTTACTATACTATGATGAATATGGTACATTAATTTAGAAAATATAAAATAATCCAAACAGATGTTAAATATTTTAATAACAAGCATTATTATTTTTAACTATTGAAATGTTTCAAACACAATTAATTTTATCATATTCTATTAAAATAGGATACATTAAATTCAATTCAATTTTCATCAGTTAATACTATACAAATGGTTTTATTATAATTATTTTAGAATTATAATGTCACGTTATTTACATCATGAAAACTTTTGTTTCAACAATAAATAGGAAATAAAAATACCGAATTTGTTAAATAATTAAACATTGGTTCAGAATGTTGAGTTAATTTTGTCAACAGAACTAAAAAAATACATTAAAAAATACACACAAAATAATCTTGTTTGGATGTAGTGAAACATCATAATATTTAGACTATTCGGTTAAAATAATCAATTAATTATCAATGATAAAATTATAACAGTAAGGGGAAATGCTTCAATAATCACAATAAGCTTAAAAATTGTATAGTTTTAAGGTAAATTGTACATACCGTTTTGTTTAATTGTTCAAATAATTTGCAATAAATCACCTGAATTCATAGATTTGTGTACTATGCTCCGGTACATGTGTCAGACAAAGAGTTTGATACCTGGTAATATATTTTAGCTATTAATATTTAATAATCGTTTCTCACTCGAAACATACCATTCTGAACTCCGATGATAGTAGTATCCTTCAATAGACGAAGTCGATTTTTGAAAACAAATGTAATAAAAACCAGCAAACGACGCACCACTTATGTCACGTATTTTATGATCTGGTACCAAAAAGTGCTCCTTCCAGCGCATAAAAACATGATCAGCATTTTTTAGTGCATCATAGTCGAACACATCAGAGTTGAATGTTTTGGCATACTGACAAAAAGCAGTAAATTTGTTCTACAAATAAATCATGCCATTAGTCATAATTAATAACATCGATTAACCCATTTATTATTCAAAAGTGCATTTTTACTAACCCAATGCTTTTTGTCGACTTCTTCGTCTGCATCCCATTTTCTCGTCAAAAACGGACACTTCTTGTTTATAATCTCACCATCAAAATACGTAGTCAAATTAGGAAACTCTTCGGTTAAGCCTTTAATTTTTAGATAACCACACAAATAACCATTTTGTTCGTCGACATACTGTAAAATGTAACCCCAAACAGTCTATTAACATCAACCTACACTACACCCGTAAAAAAATAAAAAAATTACGTTTTCACGCTTAGAGAACACACATACCTGCAACACAACTTCCACTTCATAACTGTTACCCTTGGACCTCTGAAACCCTTGGAATTTTGATCCACTGTATAATATGGAACCTGTGACACCTAACTGTTTCGAATTGGCTGGCGGTCTGGGCGTTATGTCTACTTTGACGGGCATACCTATATTTTTCACGCCTATGAAACACTAATTGAACTTTAATTCACTTCCTTATCTAACTTATACCTATTGATTTATAAACATATATAATATAGAATTAGGTATGGTTGCAATTCGTTGGCTCAATACGAACCTTCATCGTATTACTACTAAATAAAATCAAATAAAACACTTACAAAACAAAACAAAGAGAATACGGCAACAGCTTAACGACAATGTAAATCAACAACAACGGTCAAGATTCACGAAATACACATAATAAGGTCACAAAAAAATATTGTACTCGCGAGTCACAGTTGCTTAACCGTGAAAACACAATAATAAATGATAATGAACATTGAGCCGCGGCTCGCGATCCCCAGCGATTGTCAATGCGTGTGTGATACTACCAAGTACCAAATACCAGTACCAACAGAGGCTGCGCCGTGAATCAGGTAACCACTGTTACCGCCAGAGTGGTTTAGAAAAACTAAACGACGTTTAGATCAACAACAATAGTTCCAACGTCCAGTTGGCATCTTCAGTTTATTTTACGTCAACATAATAATAAATAAACAGAAAATATAATTTGTAAATTATAAAAAACTATTAAAAAAAAGATCGAATTCTCTTAAATGTCTGCCAATGATCCGAAATACTCGATGTGTATATTGACAGTGTTCACTTACGAACAATAGACGTCTTGCAGAAGTCCGATCAGCTTTTAAGACATAAGAAGGCGAACAACTTTCGGAGATGTAGAAGCCAGAAGGTCTGGTGTCTGTGTTCATAACAGCTTACAGAGGGTAGCCATTTACGAGGGCATCTTACAGCCGGGTACGATAGCTTTTTTGAATATGGTGGGTTCAATTTTGCCCGCAAAAAAAAACTACAGGAGAAAAAGCCTGTACCGAGAACGCCAATCCAAAGGGTCAGAAAGACTAGATTGCTAGACTAGTTTTACTAAAAGCTAAAACTGAAATTGTATTAAGCCTGCTAATGGTCCATAATAATAATGGGTGTGGGACCACCTGAAGGAGTTAGGGGATTTTCAGTCATTTTTGGTTAAACTATGTTATGTCATTAGGTACAATCTAAAAAAACTAAGGCTAACGAGAGTAATTCATGTAAACGAAACGACCTTGCTCCTTGTCGGTTCTATAAAAATTTCAAATATCCATAATTATGTATTATATGAGATATAGTTACTACTGCAAATTGTTATATCATAATTAATTACATGCATTGGAGCATTTCCATGAGGAAGGAGGCTAGACATATTCAAACTTTAAAATTAAAACTGTCTAAAAATATTACTTTTTCGATTACATTTTTTTAGTAGAAGACATTTATTGTCGATTGAAAGTGATAAGTTGTACAGTGGTGAGCTATCTTATAGCCCACCACGGTTTTCAATCGCCAAAAGTAATGACTATTGAACATAGAACAAAATCAATACAATCATGTTAAACTAACATCATAAAATACAATTTTTTTCAAATCTTATAATATCTTTTGGGTTGCATCGACATCAATGTTAAGCATACAAATAGTTATATACATAGCTAAGTATTTACATAGGTAAGTAAGCTAGTATACAAAAAAAAGGTTCTACATAAAAAATATAAAAATCGATTATTTTTACAAACTAATTACAACAAATCGAATGGCCTTTCCAATATTGGTTTTCATATTTGTTACTATTAAGTTTATTTTGAATATTGTCAATAATTACGACTTTTAAAAGAAATTACACCAAAAAGTCATACAGGCTCCTAGAATACATATATCTTGAGACTATGACTCCTCTTATCAACCCTTTATCCCCTGCATGTTAGTTGTTGGAATATAAATATCATCATCATTATTCATTAGTCATTGGGCCTTTAAGACCCAACTGCCATCATGAGATGATAGTTTCTAGACGAATTCGCTGTGTATTTAACAAGACGTAATGAATCTCTAAAAAATATTGTTTTCTAAACGAAAATAATTATAATATGAACAATTCAAGCGAACACGATATGGGACAACAGTTACTGTTATTGCTGCTATGTATGAATGCAAAATGGTTTAAACAATAAATAAACGTATAAAATGTAACATCTTTAATTGCCTAAATAAATATATTATTTTCTTAAAAATAAATTCTTATTGACTTATAGTATTAAACTATAGTTGTAATTTGTAATACATATGTTAATAACCATTAAAATCGTTAAAGAATATTGACTATCGACATTTAAAAATAGCTCATTTTGTACAATTCATTTAATAATTCAATTTATAAGTTATTAATTATATTGTTAAAGTTTAGCCTTTGTATAGGTACAAATATAATTCAATAACTAACTTTCTTAGCGGCTAAAAAGTCAACGAGTTTAAAAAATATATATATTTTTCTCCTTAAATTCATAAAAACAACTTAATTGTGACTTTTTTTTGGTCCTCTCGCTAATCTAAACTGGAAGCAATTCTTCCACAGAGTACATATCGAATACTGGCTTAAAAATGTTTACCAACATTGCTCCTACGGTATCTTCAAACAGAGGCCTAGTCTCTTGCATCAGACTCCTCCAATGCTCGTTTATGAAGCGATTTGCTGTGTCACCTTAGCAATAAAAGTGAAAATTAAAAAAGCATATTTTTTCTTTAATGTTAAAAATGTCCAACAACATAAGCATTAACTTACTCATTTCTTTATTTCCGTTGAACAAATTGCTGAAATGCATATGCGCAGAACCTATTTTTAAGTCCACGTTTTTGTCTTTAAACTCAAAGTGATTTTTACCATTTTTCTTTTTTTCGGTTTGCAAAATTACTTTGACATCTGCATTAATGTTTGCTATAAAATAAATTTCTCTATTAAAGCACGAACATTTTACGGCAAATCTTTCTTGTTTACTTACTGAAATTTCCAGAAAATTTGCCATTTCCTTTAATGGGCAACATAAGAATTTTGCCGGTGATATCATATTTTGATTCTATCTTGTACTCGGGGAAATGTAGTTCAATTTCAAACAAATGGTTTTCGATATCAATTCTATAACAAAAAATAAAACACAAAATATGATTTTTTAGCTTCGATGTGAGACTGAGAAAGTATATTATTTATATTTTTTAACTACGTGATACATCTTCAGCAAATAAACTGAAAGCGATCAATATCTAAACACAAGATTAACTTCAGAGGAAGATTTTTCCAATTGCCAACAACCTTAACGACGTTTGATACACTAATTAAAAAACAATTACCAAAATTCAGGTAATGATACAACTCATTTGTATTGAATTTAAAAAATGTTAACATTAATTTTTAGAAAAAAATAATACTTTTAATTTCCCATTAACAAATAATTATAAATCCATTTAATTCCACATTAAATCGACAAATTGTATTAAAAAAAACAGTCATTTTACACTTCCATACTTCCTTTATTTTTAATTATATCTAGAAACCAAGAAACACTAAAAGTGTTACGATAGGTATATTTGTTTTATTTATTGTCTATTGATCACTCTTGTTATTCGTGTACTTAAAATATCCATAGTTCATAGTTGACATAGTTATGCACGTAGACATGAAGAGTATTTATGAATCTGGTTAAGTTAAACCTTAAAAAAGTTAGAGTAAAGTTAAAGACTATTAAACTACTATGCGACTGTGCACTCTCAATAAACTATAAAAATAACAAAAACTCACGAAGAAACGCAGTTGAACTTGGTCAAGAACACATAATTTCATAACCAAAATTAACTTGACTATTTAAGCTTAAAAACCATAATAATACGTGATCCCCAACCCAACTTTACGACCCCTAAATAGTGACACTAAGTGAGGAGGTAGACTCACTCAAAAACTTCTTCAACTTTAAGCCACCTAACATTCATTAACAAATTTAACCAGTTTTACTTGATTTTATCAAGTGGAGTGTCATACGCTCAAAAATGTAGACTATTTGCGTTAAGCTAATTTATTCTTCATAAATGTTTTATTCGTAATTATTAATAATAAAATAACACATTCCTGAGGTTTGTTAATGATAACCTAATATCAATAAAATGTATAAAACAGAATATATTCCTACAATTTCTACAATTATTTGACATTTTTCTAAAGGGGTCTCTTCACCCGCGTTTTTTTGGTCGAAAACAACTTATTCTAATTTTAAACGTACTCTGAATAGTGCAATCTGACAATATTTTTGATAACGGATATCGATTTTTCAATAATTGCTTAATGTATCATTTAAGTAAATTTTTAATTTGTCTTACAATATTATCGTAAGAATAACTAAAAACTTTAAAAAATACAATTATTTATGTAAAATAATTAATTAACAGAAAATTATTTTAAAATTGTGCCTCGACCGATCATTATAAATTGTTTGAAGAATTAAAATGTGTTTTCAAAACTTAATTCATAGTATTCTTAGGAACGTACTGATATAACGTAATTAAATTTTGTACAAAAAAGAGCTCGTATACGTTAGGTAAGTTGAAAGCAAAAATGAAATATCAATCTCCTTGCTGTGTTTATTTTATATACAAGTGCAAGTATTATAGCTAAATGTTAAGCTTTATTGGACCAATTTTCATTTGAAAAAATTACCTGTATAATGCTAGGGCAGAGGCCCAAATTTTATTTAAAATTTGCCTATATTCTAAATGATCAATAAAAATGCTATATAATATGTAAGATAATATTTATGCATCCTAATAAATAAATGTATTTAAAAAACGAATCTTTGGTAATAAACTAGTAGTTATTACTATCCAACAATTCTAGATTTCGAGATTTATTCACAAGCTTTGTTTTTATCAATTGTACTTGATCAGCCCCTATTTTTATTGAACATGTTTTGTTTAAATACATTATGTGTGGAGATACCTATCACATTTTAATAACCTAAATTCTTGATGATCTACGTCTAGTTTAAATTGTCTATAGTCTATAATATAAGATTAGGACAAAATCAAATTATTATCATCACTTTTGTTTATAAAAACAAGTAATTACTACACAAATAATAATAAGTATGCATTGTCGGTTATCTATTATTGTATAAAAAAAAGCCAATTACTTAAGCTGTCGAGGTATAAACAATTCATTTTTCAGTAACCGTCAAGTTGAATTTTATTTATCGAAGTAAAAAAATACATAGATGTGGACAATGCATTATATTCCTATATAATTTCTATGACCTTTGTTGTCACTATTACATTACTCATGGTGGTTTCTTGGAACTTGTGATAATAATCAAATATGATAAACCATCCAATGATATTATTCTGATCACTTAAAATCTCTTAATTCGTTTACCTCTTCGCGTTTGATCTTTTTGCTGAAGAACCAAAATATGATTGAAACTTAAGCACAATGGAATACGATTATATTCTAAAACAAAACCAAAAACCTACTTGATATTTTTCAGTTCAAAGTTTTTTGCTCCGAAACCCTTTAGATGAGTAAATAAGGCTTTGAAATTTACAGAATTCGTGCCTTGATTCAGAGATATCACTGGCACCGATATCGGATCTAACGGAGGTACGTGCATTTCTGGTATGCCTTTTGCCGCAAACGGCCGGAGGGACTCCAATATGTTTCCTAGACATTCGTTGAGGTTGGGATCATTCCTTTTACACGGTTTGATAAATGAAGCTGCAACAAACCGGACGTACGTTGGTTTTGTCTTTTCGACGGAAATACAATAAATATATATATATATATATATATATATATTCAAACACATAGATGATTTTTACTTGTGAATACTCACGTAATGTACGACCGGTAATTTCGCCGAACAACTGCAGTGTACAGAAAACAAACGCCACTGTCCTAAATGCCATTATCAAGAGCTAGATTGTTTCCAAACTCTTGTCGTATTGGTTATTGGAAAATTTGTGGGCAGGTTCCAAACATTAGCCGGTTATTTATACGGCTGGAACATGGATATTAACCTTGTGCGAGGTCATTAATATGCTATTCTTACAAGCCGTCAGGAAAATCAATAATCATACTCAAGTCCAAGTTCGACTGCAGTTCACAAGACATCCATTAATAATAAATAGTCGTTTGCGCAAGGTTATTCGGACCGAATCCGTTCGTTCATGACGACAAACGTTTAACGTTTTTTCCCTTCGTTCGATCTTCTCCATTATTTGGCGTTATAATAATTTCATCATATTATCTTTGGAATTAATATTAATTATTATAATTAATGTATTTATATAATTTGAAATACAATCATGATAATTCCTTACGCCGGGTCAAGTAAATTCAGCGTAACATACTTATCGATCACCGACAATTCCGTGTTGCAAAATAAGTATTATTTTAATTTTTAAAGTTTTTTAATATTTCACTAAACAGTAGACGTATAAAAATTTCAATTTCCGTGAAGACATCAACAGCCAAAATGAATCTTTAAGCATATGCTTATAGCATGCCTATCATCTGCCTTTAATGGACGTCGAAGTTACCATAATTTAATTAAAACATGCGGACGATTTTTTAAGAATGTTCATTTTTCATTGCAAAATAAGTCATAAAAAACACACTTGAATAGTTAAAGCTTGCCAAGACGCCTATCAAATTACTAATGGAGAATCTTCCACATTATAATAGTCGTCTATCTATACTTTTGTATAAACGAATTCCGGCAAAGATATTAGTCCAAATTATAAAATCAAAGTAAAAGCCATTTAAATATATTTGTGTCAAATAGAATATGGAATTTAAATATGTCTTAACAACTAACAACCACTCATTAATTTTGTGTTATATAATTTATTTTACAGCTCTGTGGCCTTTGGCTATTGCTTTAGGACTATTTCTAACTTAATAATATGCATATGATAATGACAATGTTAAGTTGCACAATTTATTGTTAAAGATAAAAATAATATGTCGAAACAATTTTTGAAAAACGAATCCTGTAGAATTTTTATTAAGTGTAAAAATTGAATGACAAGTATTAGATTTGATGTGAATGTATCGTAAAGTAATCTGAAGATAACTGAAAACTTTAGTTGGTTACACTGACGTTACCTTATTTAACTGTATAACGAAGTACTTCAATGAAATTGAATAAAATATCGTTTTTTTAAACAATTATTTGTTTAAAATAATTACATTTAAGTTTTTCATAGATTTAAGAACACAAATCAAAATCTAATATTTTTAGGTACGGATTTTCCGTGATAAAGCTGGTGGTGTTGAACATTTCTGATGCCGGTAATCGGTATTTAAATAATAGCAGTAATCCGAAAAGTCAATAATTGCCTAATAATAGGTCATTATATAAAATACCGGAAATCGGTAATTAGTGAATGTGTGTGGAGCAGTGTTTAATATGATATAAATTAATTTATGATATTTATCAAAACATTAAAGCATGATAGGTATATAAGGATTTAAATATCCAGTAATACCGGATTACTTGGATTACAAATAATCCGTTATTCCAATATGACGGATTAATGAATTACAAATAGTTCATCCAAATTAAACGTTTTTAAAAAAATTATCCCCTTGTTTAGATGTTGGTGTTTTTTCTAATGTTGTAAAAAATAAACAATATTTTGCATATTGATTTACACTTAGGCATTTGTTCATGCGATAAGCGAACAACAAACACATTAAAATAATAAATGTAATCCAGTTTTTATTATTCCTGGATTAATAATGTAATCCGTAATCCGCGAACTAGGGACTACTGGATTAATAATGTAATCCGTAGTCCGTAAACTAGGGATAACTGGATTAAATATAATCCAATTTTTTTATTAATCGTAGATTACAAGTAATCCTTAATCCCTCTGTAAAAAAAATACACCATTTTTTTTTATATCCCTCTGTAATCGATTACGGTTTGTAATCCATTTTGCCCATCTCTGAATGTATGTATGTCAAAATTTAAAAATGATGAACTGACATGTTATTTAAACCAAAAAATAAAAAATGGATAATTGGTATCAGTACGGTAATTATCTTAAATGCCGAAAAAGTAGTTTACTTGCGAATTTAAACTTAAAACTTAGCAGCGTAATTGTTGGGACTTACAAAAAAATATGCATGAATGTTTATACTTTGGAAAACAATAAGTCATTAACAAATTGCCTATGGCTGTCAAAACGAGACGATTTATAAAGAGATTTAAAAGTCTTAACTATATTAGATTTTAATACAGACTTTATGACCTGAACACTGTACACAATGACTTTATAAATTATAGGATATATTACAACGATGTGACAAAATTACACAAAAATCTTTATCACCCTGGTTACGTTCATAACAGGTTCATATAAGACAGTTTAATTATAATAAAAAGAACAATATGTATAATTATATTGATTTAAAAATTTGGACGAAGAGAATTCAAGATGATCACAAAATAAAAATAGTAGTGCATCTTTTAAAAATAATACAATAAAATTAACCATATAACATTGAGCAATGATTTACTGTTTGAGTTTTTATAATTATTAAATTTGTTTATTTTTGGACAGTTTTTAATTCTGCTGTAAATATTTTAATCTAAATAAGGTAATGGAGTACATTTTAAAGAAATTAAATGTATACAAAACTTCTTAAACAAAAGAAACGGTAAATTTCTTGAAGCTGCGTTTTTAAGAAAACTGAATAATTTTAAAATGCTTATATATTATATAAAGGCGTTGCCCTTTTCAATACTATACCTTTCCCTTTTTCACTGATTCATCTTGCGCTGTACGAAATAACGCCCGATTCCCTAATAGACTAATAAAAACTGACACATGAATTATTCATTTTGTGAATAAGATAAAACTGGCAGTTGACAACACGTAACCCACATTTTATTCTTGAAACTTGTTTAATATAAGAACATAAAAATTTTATGACATTATCTGCAATTATTATAGCACCTAAGCGCCCATCGATTTACTCTGAATAAAGTATCACATTTAGTATTGGAATGTAAAATTATATAACTGATTTACATTTATTGATATTTGGAAATATTGTAAATTTCAACATAAACTCAATATTCCTTATTATAATCATGCCTATACTGGATTCAAAAATTAAAATACGGAACATACATTTTTTCCCAATATGTGTTGCCGATATTTCTGACCCAGATAAAAAAAAAACTCTACTATTATCTGTATATGTTTATTGCATTGTATAATAAGTTTTATTAAAACAAATCAAAATTATACGTTTGAATTATTAATTAAGCAAACGAGTTGGTTAATCAGTACCGGTGCGGTCCATAAGGAGGCTTTCAGACGGTATGTCCAGATTATAGACTATTTCAAATTTCTATTACCTATGCATAATGGGAATTGGAAAATCAATCAAACATGTAAAAATAAGACATGTAACAAAATACAATACTCGGTTGTGTAATTTGATTTTATGCTTTTCCGACATTGTTTATTGTTTTTGTTTTTCGACACACATACTCGGATGCCGTCCGTGCCTACTTTAATGACACTCACACGGGTCACCAAACGCGGAACTCGACTGTACAGTTTTTTTTATTTAGGATGAGAATAAACAATTATTATATTATTTAGCGTTTTGCGCACATCTCGCAGGCGAATACCTTGACAAATACAAAAAAAGCGCGTGTTTTTTAAGTAAAACAAATGTGATTTACGTGCAAAACAACATCATTGCCGGTGTAGTAGTAGTGCATAAAGTCCATCCCGGACGACCGTCTTAGCGATTGCGCTTTGAATAACCGTTTGACGACGTTCTCCGCGGTATAATCTCATAATGTATATGAACATGGGTTATCAATTGTGCTGTTTGGCCATCCTATTTTTTACTGCGGCCGTTCGTTCGGAAAATGATTTATTGGACCGCACTTACACGTCTAAGTCCAAGTCAGAAAATATCCGTAAGTTGACTTTGTAAAAAAAAAACACACACACACATACATTTTTACATTTATTTTTCGGACACCCGTTGAACGATCACGTTTTTCCAGCTTACATGCTCCGAGTGTGTCATCGAAGCGACCCGAAGCTCAACGAATGCGTGCAAAAGTCCATCGAAGAACTGAGACCTTACTTGGCCGAAGGTAAGTGTCGGTTTTACCATCGACGCCGTTTATTTTCTATCAGATATTATTATTATTTTTTTTTTAATACATATTTTATATCACTCGTATTTCAGTTTGCGCGAATCATCATCGATAGATAAACAAATCTTTAAAAATGAGTTTAATTCAATATGTTATAATTTCAATGAAATTTTAGTTATTAAATTTATAAATTTGTTGTGTAAACCGACATCGGGCAATGTCATAAAGTGCTCGAATAAAAATTATTCAAATACTATTCAAGTAAATCGTATATGTATTGAAAAATTGTAATTTTCAATTACAATTTTTTAGTTTTTTTTTTAAATATATTTTCAATGAATTTGTTACTTACACAAGATAATTTACAATAATTAATTTTGTAAATTTCAAACTTCAAAAAACTGATGTTCCCAAAAAATCTTTTAAATAAAACATAAAATGTATAAAAATCCTTTTACATAAGTAATTTTAATTTACTTACAGGGATCCCGGAATTGTTTATACCATCATGTGAACCCTTGGTCATACCCGAAATCGTGATGAATCAAGGAAACAAAGGCAGCGTTAGTGTACAATCCATTTACCGTAATATTCGTGTACATGGTCCTAGTCAGTTCGTTTTGCAAAGCGTCAAGTAAGAGAAATTTTACTTAAAAATAAAATATTCTGGTGGATACAAAAAAAATAAATAAATAAAAAATAATAATAAATTATACTTTATGTGTTCAGAGTGGACTTGGAAAAAGAAAGAATTCGAATTAAAGTGTCGTTACCGTTCTTGCACATGACTGCCGACTACTCTATCGAAGGCAGAATCCTTATGTTGCCCATTTCCGGAGCCGGTCTCAGCGAAGGAAACTACAGTGCGTAATTCGTAATAAACGCCATTACTTCTATATTGGAAGCCATTAACAAATTATTATTGTGCTTTAGCAAACATCGAAGCCAATGTCCTCGTACAAGCCAATACTATTCAACTGAAAGGAAAAAAACATTTTAACATTCAAGATGTAGCCATTGATTTCCAAATCGGTCATGCGAGTGTGTACTTAAGCGGTTTGTTTGACGGCGACAGTGAACTTGGTAAATCTTCGTTTAGTTCAAGTTTTATACATTATTTTTTTGGCACATTCATTTTACTTTATAAGTGCAAATTACCAAAATATTCAGCGGTAAATGTGTAGTCGTGACCGTGCTTAGGGAAGAGGGCAACAAAAATAAGACGTGTTCTGAGGTGACATGAATTCAGAAAACGCCCAATAAAACACTTTTGGATATATGTTTTACATTATGAAAAATGTGATTTATATGATTAACGAAAAAATATATTACAATTTAATTATTCAGTTGTTTACACTTAACGATGGCAAAAGGGTGAAAATATTTGTTTTGTGTCAATATGACAGCATAAAAATACATATCGACTACATTTAGGTAGTATAAATAGATATTTACTTACTTAAGTGACAAATTATTTCCCACCTTAAATTACGTTGTTAATTTTTTTTTTATTCATAAACAATTTTGTGGTGACTCATTTGAGATAATGTGTAAACCGCAGAATAATCATTTCAAATAAAGCATTTTTTTTTCACTACTACTCATACAACCAGCGAATAATGAAACTTGCGAAGCCTACATGTAATAGATTGTTAAAAACAATTAGCGATTATAATCAATTTTCTTGTGTTAATCAGGAGATGCGATGAACACTTTCCTGAACGACAATTGGAGACACGTTGCCCAAGAGTTTAAACCCATACTCGAAGAAACAATAGGTGACCTGTTCAAAAAGTTTGCCAACAAATTATACCACAAATTCCCCGTGGACGAAATCCTTCCGGTTTAAGGTCATATCGAAAATCGACGTAAAATAATTTAACGTTTAAACGTAATTTTTATGTAAATAATTTAATTGTAAATTATATTTTTTATTTATTTATTTATTTATAACGATTGTAATTGATTTTCGTACGAAGAACTGGTATGTACACAATAAACATTTGAACCAATTCTTAATTCTCTCTGCTGTGCTTGTGTATTTATTTTGTCTTGCTTCTTCTATACGTTATACCAATCGTACAAACACTTGCTATAACGTGTTCGACACAATGCTTGGTGTACATATAATATTTAGTAAGGTGTAGGAAAAAAAAATCCATGAACCAATCGAATGGACCCAACGGGTAAAAACTTTCTCTGACGAACAAACTAGTCTTCTTCGACTGTTGTCATGTTATTACGCCGGTCGCGTATAAGGTGTTACGCCAACATTATCTGTCGCGGTCTGTTCAGGGTATTGCACACTGAGTTCTCTTCGGCAAAACCTTTTGGATGTGTTTCTTTCCACAACAACTGTTAAAATTTTACTCAAAAATTACTTTTGATTTTTTGTTTTACTTTTTATAACGCGAATGTAAATCTAAAGATTAAACATATTTGGTAACGATAAATTCGCCCGCAACAATGTTCCTCGTGTCCGTCACAATGACCGGAATAGCCTTATTCTACGCGGCCACCACAGTTGAAGTTGCTGCTGCCGCCGACTCCGGAAAAACTTTACGACAAGATCAAATTCCGCCACTTCAAGTCGCCCGTAAGCATGTCGAGATGATTATTTCTTAACCGCTAGACAATAGTCAATAGCTATACTATAGCTAAATTCTTAAAGTCAGTAACATTATCGTTGATAGATCACAAATTCGTTTATTTGTAATAACTACTGCGTGCAACAGAAAATACCATTAAAACATGTATTAAAACAAAAAGAAATATTTATTTATTATAATTTGACGCCAAACGGAATAATTTCAAAATAACATGGATTACACTAAGCATAAAAACCACATTCATTAGTCTGACTATTTTCGGATCTATCAAACTAAATTCATGAAAGTTTTAACTCATTCCTAAACCACATCTAATTATGATGATTTAATTTTTAATTTTTTAGACTACTTATTATTAAATCAAAGAAACTAATACGCTTCAATAATTGTGATTTATACTGTAGTTTAGTTCTATAAGACAACCGATAGCGGTTGTTTTTCTACTATGACATTATTTTAATTTATACGAGTAACTTAAAACAAACCCAACAACTTTAACCGCATCAACTAGGTTATAATTAAACTCTACTTAGTTTCTTTGACTAACTTTTATACTAATAACCGTTAAACATTACTGATCTAATAAAACAATACAAAATATTTTTTTGTAAAGTAGATACCAAAATATATATTAAAAATGGGATTCGAATTTTAATGAAAAACATGGGATTGCCAACACCATATTTATTATCAAACATTAGATCATACAACTTACATCGACCTTCCTAAGTGCTAAAGTTCAGGATAAAAAAAATACTTAGAATTAAACGTGTTGCTGCGAGAACAAGTTAGCGACAGTAACATATTAAAATTATAGAATATTATTGACCTATTTCCCCTCATTTATTATATAAACATTTAGATTGAGATAGATGAACCTGTTTAAGGGAAGTCGTACGGACCATGTAAATAGTTAATTTCATGTTTTCCAACGACCATGAAACGTAATGTTTCTAGACGGAGTACAATTGTTATCATTAAAATGAACATTATATCAATTATGTTCTCCCTTATACTAAGTGCCTATGCTCATCCTATTTCATTTCAGTTATTCTAATATTCGGTTGTAAAGGTCAAACCCATCGAGGAATTGGGGTTTTCCCGGTAGACCCATGGAACGTCATATAAAAAGCAATTATACATTTTTAGGTGTTCTTTGGTTTATGATATTTAAATGTAGAAGCTTGAGAATTCAAAAATTCCCATTAGCCACTAAGTTTATTTATTTACTTTAAAGACCATTCTCAACAGTTAAGCTAAATATCTAAGCATAATTTGGCCAATGTTTTAGTATTGTTAAACTGTACTTATTTTCAAGCCAAACTGATGAACGTTGGTAATTAAAATCATAAATGAATGTAGCTTACTCTGACAAAATAATAAACCGCTACTAAAGATCTTGTAACCGAGATATTGCTTATAGTTCTTAAGAATTGTCTGCGTTGTCTGAAAGATAATACAGAGGAACACATGCAAAACAAGTTCTGTTTAGAGTAGAACACAACGTATGTACATAATTTACGTAACTTGCTTTTTATCACATAAAATATACATAAGATAAATAAATATAAAATATATTAGTTTTGCACATACATGTAAGTGTAAAAGCAAAACTGCCACTGACCGCAAACGTCTGTCTATAAAAGCGTTGAGTCTTACGTAAGACTTTGACGGCGCTTTATGCTTACACCTCGTGTACACATGTTTTTCGTTTGTTATTATTATAACACATTGCCCCCGAGTCATGTATAAAGACAGGTCCAATGGCCGACAAGACCATTAAGTAAGATTAGGGCCCCCATCGAAGAAAGTATTCCGCCGTTTTGACCTTTCTCTCTTTTTCTCGCTCCAAACAAAGTGTAATCACATCAGTGAAAGCAAACCACGCTGTAACTGCAAAAATATACAGCTGTAGCCTGTACCTTATGAATACTTCAATACTATAACACCTATAATCAAAGATAACTTGATTTAAATGATTACGATTTTAATTTTTAGTCATGGATTTGAAGTCATGAGGCTGAAGTACATACAGAATACATGTGTAAACAACTAATACAATATTACCTATTTGGTGCAACAATTTTATCGTTGTTAAACATTCAAATCTCTAAGTATAATCTATAATGTGCAAATAAACTAACTTGCCCTTTCTAGGACTTTTACATCATCTACACTTAGTAGCATATATAACTCCTGTACTTTCGTTTGGCAATATTAACAAAGAACCACATACGTTGAGTTACATAAGTAGAATAACCAAGAACATACGCGTAACGGCAAAATCTAAATATTATAATTATATGCGTTAAATTTGTATAAAATGTACTTAAAAATGTTATATAACAAGATAGCGTATAGTAGAGAATCGTCTAGGCCCTTGCAAATTTAGGCCAATAGAATATTTCAAACGTGACCAGTAATCAATATTACTTATGAAATGCATACAATGTTTTATAGTGAGCCATGAACCAATATTGTACCTACAGTTTTATCTTAAACGCCAATTAGGGAAATATTTTCTGATGTTTAACTCCGCAGCTAGAGTACAAATATAACCTACCGATTATAATATAATATCAAATACCTACACATACTATGTCAATATCACGTCGTTGTGAAAATTAACCTATTAATTTTCTGAAACTATGAAATCTTATATGGCAATTACATAGGTACATTAACCAAAGCAAATTTCGAATTAAGTAACATACAACAAATAACTTTGGAATTTTAATTTTCCATTATAGATGAACAGTGTTACGGCAACTTTCGTTCTTTGCGTATTTGTGATAAGTATATTATAATCACATTTTAATAAACAAAATAACAATGTAAATACTTTATTACATAATAAGCCGAAATAAATATAATTATTATTTTCCAGCCGTATGGTTGAATGCGTGCAAAAAGAAGGACCCATTCGTGGACGAATGTATCCGTATGACTTTCCAGAACATGTTTCCATACTTAGCTAAAGGTATCCACTAATTGTTTGATTTGGCAATGCGCTTAAAATTAAATAATCGTATAATCGTATTGTTTTATTCCATTCAGGTATACCAGAAATCGGCACTACACCATTCGAGCCTATGCACATCGATAAAGTGGCTCTAACTAAAGGACAGGGCGCTATTACTCTGTATGGAGCCTTCACTAATCTAATTGTTCACGGGCCAAGTAATACGACAGCGCTGTATACTAAGTACGTGGATTGAAATTTAAAATTAATAAAATTATTCTACTTTTTTGGTATTGACCTACTGTCACGATAGAGGCCTAAAAATTCAAATAATTAAGTTACGCAATATATTTTAATTTTATAGGAACTACGTTTGAAAATTCATAATGTTATATCTTTGCACGTCTTTAATGAAATACTATGTCCTCTAATAATAAAACAATGAATCGCTGGCTTCTAATATGTGTATAGAAACCTAATATATATCTAATTCTATACATAACACAGTTTCACAAAAATTTGCACATACCACCTGTGCACTAAATTTACTTTTTTTAACTATCATAAAGTTACATATTTTTTTCTTTGTTAACTATTTTTAAAACGCTCTTCAAAGCTTAATAAATCACGATGATCTGACAGATTTACAATTTATATAATAAGTTATCACCTATAATAACGACCCTTAGCATATTCTTATATTTGCTGAGAAAGGGATTTCTTATAATATATATTATCTGCATTCTATAATAATTCATAATTGCATATTTTCTACGAATAATATTGAAACACGGATATCTCTACTCTCTTGACGAATATTAGTTGTATAATGAAAATAAGTTACTGCAAAAAACCTTTAATATTCCGTCAATTATCTCTTTATATGTAAATTTCTTCTATCCGTGTGTAAGTAATAAGTATGCAAACTCCTTTTAAACGGCTGGACAGATATTTATGAAATTTTTTATTCTAATACACGGGCAACGCCGGTTCGGGACAGCTTGTATACTATAATATGTATATATGATTTAACTACAAGATAATAAATCAAATTGTCCTTCGATTGCACATGTTATTATATAATGTTATTAGGTGCCAGTAGTATGCGCCACGCACATAATCTATATTTCCCATAGAAGTTACTGAGTTAGCGGTACTATATAAATAATAATGCTCAACTCGACAAAAAACATGAAACAATGTTCTTGATCAATAGGTTATAATAAATTACACGTTCAGAATACACTAAAGTATTTTTCTGTTTCCAATGCGTCACACTATTTTTGTCGTCGAAAACAACAGATTAGTTTTATGACGTCCATTTCAATTGAAAACAATGTACCAAGGTAATAATGTGAGAATGTAAATCATTTAATACAACTTAAATTTTAGATTTCACTGCAATTTGTTTAAACGTAAAAATGATTAAAATGAAACGCAATAGTAATTGTTATACATTTGAATAACAACTTGAAACAATTAGGTACATAACTATACTAACTAGTAACTATACAACTATTCACTAAATAAAGGGAATGTAAAAAATAAAGTCATAATAAATGAATAAAGTTTAGGAAATACTAACTATATTTAAATATAATTATACATTCACTTAAATAAATATATATATTTTTGTGGTTCTTTCAGGATTGATTTAGTCAAAAACCGTTTAGACATTGGTCTGTTTATACCGACCATTAAAGTAGAAGCAAAATACGACCTCAAAGGAAATCTTTTACTTCTGCCATTGGTCGGCGTTGGTGATGCAAAACTTTATCTAAGTGAGTGTATGAAACATTTGTATTTTTTTCCTATTGATTATTATTTTTGGCACTACATTAGGATTACTGGTTAGTTAAATTCGTATTTTCTATTATTATGTTTTACAACAAACAAACTAGTACACATAATAAGCAAGTTTGACGTCTCTAAAATAATAAATCACTCTTGACTCAATATCTTGAGACAATATCTATAATCTATCATGGTAACACTCACTTAATAGCGTGTTCAAAAAATTAACTCAAATCATTAGATTCAGAATTTCCTAAAATGATTGACAAAAAATCAATTGTTCAGAGGATATTTTACCCAAGTATTTGTCATGTCTAACATGAATGTAGTTTTTTTCTTAAAAAAATAGCCTTAGTTGTGCCAATGACCAATGTAATATTATTATCTGTTATTACTAAAATAGAAACTACTTATACTATTAAGTATATTTTATAGTTAGTGTTTGGCGGCAACAATAGTATCAAGTATACATATTACTAATAAAGTTTTTTATTTTTCTAATTAACATACAGAATTACCATAAGTGTTTGTGATTTTCAGAGAATGTGACCACTCACGTACAAACGAAAATACATTTTCCAAAGTACATGAACGAAACCGTTATGGTGGCCAACCATATGAAAGTGGACTTTAGCTTGTCGGCAATGCGCGTAAATCTGGACAACTTGTTCAACGGCAACAAAGTATTGGGCCGAACGGTAAATACGTTTTTAAATCAAAACGCTCTGGAAGTCGTCGAGGACCTAAAAGAAAACATTGGCGAAAATCTTTCGACAATATTCAAACAAATTATGAACGACGCCTTCAGTCACATACCCACAAAGTTATGGCTCCAAGACGACTAGAGTTCACTCTCACCAAAACCGTTCAGTTACTACTCTATAAAGACTTTTGTAAATATCCTTCAACTTCCATATTCCACGAAAACGATAATATGTTTGCTTGTCTGTCTTGCTAGTACCTACGTTATTATTGACGACTTATTATTGTGTTGTAATCGCTATTTTCACGTTACTCCCAAGATTATTATTGATTTATATTGCATGTTACTATTTTTTTTTACTATAATTATATTATTTGTGTTGTAATAATAATATGTTATTATTCTTCTTATGAAGTGCCAAAGTAAAATATGTCGTCGGTATAGTCTATATTATGACTATCTATTGCCTATATTAATATTATTAGGTAAAATTAAATTCCAAAGTCGATAAACATGTAACAACCAGCATGGAAAAAATAATTAATTTCTCGCACATAAACTGGCAAAATGCATTGCATTTACCAATCGCCAATTCCTCTATGTATATCAGGGATCGTATGTTGAAATCATAACCCTTACTGCTTTCACCACCTAACTAAATACAAATTCAGTTAAGGAGAACGGAAAGCGCCAAAATTTATAGAAATAAAAACTAAAACACAAAGTCACTTTCTACAGTGCTACAAATGCTACAGAACAGATTTCAATTTTTTTTTGTTACAAAGTTTAACATTTTTAATGATGGCCGATTTATTTTTTTTGTTTTCAAAATTTTATTATAAGTGTTTAAGTATTTGTACTTTTATAGTTTTTTTAAATAAATCAAACACATTTTCTAATAGCTAAACTAAAAATCGGCCTCTTAACACCCCTTAGAGAAAATAGTGAGCATCTCATAAAAAAAATTGAAATCCGTCCAATACATACGCCAGAAAATTACTGCTACGAAAATAATTTCTTCTTATATGTATCAGTTCATTGTGTATAACTCATAAGGTCAATGCATATAATATAAAAACATAAAGGTCGATGTGCAATAACCTGTATACTTCAACCATGCCACTCACCAATATTATACAATTCCATTTAACACCGATAAGGTAATATTTTAAAATTTAAACCCTAAAAAACGTTTATATTTTTTTAATCGAGGCGACACGTTTTGTCAAGATGTTTTCATAACAATTTTAATACATTTTAAATGTAAAAATAATTAATTGTCTATTTCTATCCAGAATTATACATGTAAACAAGTCTAATTGTTAGGTCGACTTAACAAATCGGATTTGATTTAAGAACGGTTTATTTAATTCGTGTAATGCTATAGGTGTATTTACAAATATATGTATGTATTGATGTATGATTTTTAGATTTATTGAAATAAGATAAATAATTATAAACTAGAGAAGCTAGATGCAGTGGCGTTAATAGCGATAATACACATATATATTATAGATGATAAACATACAGTTATGGTAGTAGTGGTAAAACTGTTATTGTACATTATTTTCATGATAAAATAATTGTGATACGAAACCAAGTTGATAAACAGCTCCGAGCTCACTCAATATTAAATTTATACTTCATATCGAAATGCTAAATTCAAAGAAAAAGAATAAATAGTAAAAAAAAAACAACAACTTAATTAATATAAAATAATAATAACAATTATTATTCTATCAATATTTCAAGTTGGTAAAATTAAATATAAGTTCAATGACGATTTTGTTACGAAAGTGTTAGCAGAGTATTTTATTATTAAGTAAGTACCATCATAATAAATAATGTTAAAATTGTATACAAATATTTTATTTTTCTTATCAAGTTTTATTATATTTATATAATAAAATCAAATACTATAAATGACTTAAATCGTTTATAGTATTTGATAAAACCTAACCTACCGTGTATTTTTTTGTTAAAATTAAGTATACCCAATTATTTTTGGCATAAATCTTACTTTATCAAAGTGTTAGAATGGATACTGAAACTTTGGCTTTTATGTAAACAATGTCAAAAAAAAAATGTTACAGCATTCATCATTTTAGAACAACACTGCAGTACATTTATTCTCTAGTCTCATAGTTATTAAACTTTTTAAACTTCTATTAAGTTTTAAAATAAAGAAACTACACTGTAAACTGATAGTGTAGATTATTATTAAAACATTCACTCATATATATATATATTTATATATTAATAATTTGTTTTATTAGGTGAAAGCCTTAAAATTAGCTGATCAACATGGACCCGGCTTTACTAAGAGAACGGGAATTGTTCAAATTAAAAGCATCGGCCATACCTGTGTAAGAGCAATTTGCTTATGTTATAGAATTTATCATATAAATATTTATATTATTTGTTTTTAAAGAGTGGAAAAAAGGCAAAAAGATGACAGTAACAAAGACGAGTTTAAAAAAAAATCCAAACCTTTACCACCAATGCCTAGGCCACCATCGCCTCCAAATACGTCCAATTCTATGAAGTACATATATAGTATTTTTTTATATTCTTTGTTATGAACATAAAAATATAATTTTTGCGCAATAGTTATAAAACATTTGGTCAGAGTTCTCAGTACAAATTTGGAGTACTTACTAAAATAGTTAAGTATATTAAAGGCAGTCATCAAAATGGGGATGATCATCCATTGACATTAGATGAACTTTTAGATGAAACTAATCAATTGGATGTAGGATCAAAAGTTAAATCGGTAAATATAATCAGTGTTTAGCTACATTCTTGACAATAGTGTATTAATCAAATATATATATATATATATTTTTTTTTTTTTTATGAAAAAAGTGGTTGGAAACTGAAGCATTGCCAAGCAACCCCAAGATAGAGCGGACACCTGATGGAAAATATCTGTTCAAGCCTCCTTATAGACTTAAAGATCGAAAAGCTTTATTGAAATTATTAAAACAACAGGATTTAAAAGGATTAGGAGGAATTATGTTAGATGATGTTCAAGAATCTTTGCCTAATTGTGAAAAAGCATTAAAGGTTACTGTGAATAAATTGTATATACTTACAACCCTCTTAGGTTGCTATAGTATGCTGGTTTGCTTATTAGTTATTAACTATTTTATTGTTTGATGAAACAGCAATTGCAAAATGAAATACTATATGTATCTCGACCAGGAGATAAGAAAAAGGTGATTTTTTATAATGACAAATCTGCAACTATAGATATAAATGAAGAATTCAAAAAAATGTGGAGAAGCATTGCAGTTGATAATATGGATGACGAAAAAATTGAAGAACATCTAGAAAAACAGGTATGTTGTTAAAAAAAATATATATTATCAGACAAATAATTAGTATTTGTACTTTAACTATCATTTGACACAATTTTATTTAGGGTATAAGTTCCATGCAAGATAATGGTGTTAAGAAAGTAAACCATGTTAAGCGGAAAAAACCAGTCACAAAGAAAAGAATATATAAAAGACCAAGAGACAATGAACATTTAAAGAACGTTTTGGAAGATTACGATACTCTTTAAATTTAAGATAAATATTTATATTTTCATGTTTTTTTTTTTGTAAAATGTAAAGATTGTAAAAATTAAATTTAAAAAAGTTATACCTAATTATTACAGTTTTTTTGTTTCAAGATTACAATTCATTCAACAAAAAATTATCAATTATATTATTTATATCTAAAACAGCTTTTAGTCTTATCGGAATAGTGCCAAGACTCACTAATTTTTCTGGTTTGTTAGTTTCAACTTCATTTGTAAGACTAAATAATTCCTAGTTAAGAAAAAAAAAACATTAGGAAGTTAAACATAAGGAAATAATTTTCAAAAACATGTACTATTATAATTATTAAATTACCTTGTGGTGCTTATCTTCATTAGCTTTAATTAACTCGTAGATTTTTCCATTTAAACTCAATACAACTCTACCAGATCTATAATATTGCACTTTTCCTATAGGTGGAGAACTATATTCTACATCCATATCATTCTAAAAGTAAAATAAGTAACATTATTTTCAATCTTCCCTTCCAGACATAATGTTTTGTACTAATTATTGCTACAAAAAAATAGTGATTAAAAATTTTAAAAATTTCATGCATTTGTTTGGAACAAATTTATGTAAAATCGCTGACAAAAACGACACATATAGGTAATTTTATATTTTAAACAACAATCAGAATCATCTAATTTTCTTCTATGCATAAAAACATTAAAAAGTCTATGTTAATTCTGAGACTAGTTCTGAAACGCAACAAACAAAATAAAATGTAAGAAAAACTATTTGAAATACATTTTAGAAAGTTATTCAAACGAACAGATCCTGAAAATACCACAAAACAGTTTCTTACAACACTGAAGGAAATTTAAAAAATATCAAGACATGATGGATTTTCTAAGACCAGATTCAGCGGAAATGTCCAATAAGTTCAATGTATTTTGGTTTTTATTCTAAAAATGTTCATTGGAGAACTAACTATTCCTCATACTCTTTCCCCCCTAATTATGTCACTGTTATATATTGTTTAACAACAAGTTGAGTAATTATAATTATTTAATTAAAAAGACAATTACTTCTGTTTTAATATGACCATTATATTCAGTTTTGGTTGAATTTGATATGTCATTTGTACCATTACCAGTTAAATCAATTTTAGACACTTTAGGCTCAAGACTAAATGAACTATCGTAAAACTGAAACAACAAAAATAAATAAAAATATTTTACTGTCTACACATCATTATTATGCAATAAAATCTCCATTATTGTATACTTGTAAATTTATTAATGATTCAGGAGCAACAAGTTCATTGAAAGAAGGGTAAATATTTTTCTGAAACGGGTACTCAAGGTCAGTTTCTAATTTAACTGCTGGCTCTCTTTTGTCTAAAAAAAAAATGTATACATATTGTTACACATAATATTCAAAATGTATACAAAACAAACGTAGCACTCTAAAATAGTATAAACATTATACAGGGTAGGGCAGAATAACGAGAGGATTTGAAATGGCTGTAAAAATACAAACAATCAATTTTACCAAAATTAATTTTCATCACCTTAAAGTACATAAAAAGCATTAAAAAAGTAATTTCACATAATTGATTTTAGAATATCACAACTGAATGATGACGTCTACTTAGGTGTATAAAATCTTCCAGTTCGGTCTTGAGGTTGCCCATCATTCTACACAACATTGCCAGTTGGATTTGGGCCATTTCTTATCAAATTTGTTGTTTCAGTTGGGTTATCCTGGTACAAAACAGAACTATCAACATGCATGTTCTCAATGACTAGTTCCCAAAATCACATGGTCGTTCAAAACTTAATTACGCCATGTTGTTTCAATTAACGGTCTTTTATTTAACGGTACTTTAAGGTGGCAAAAATAAATTTTAGAAAAATTTATTGTTTATTTTTTTACAGCCATTTCAAAATCCTTTAGTTATTCTGCCCCATATTCATACAAACAAACCTTTTATACTAAATGGTAAGCGAACAGGTCCATGAACATTTTCTGATGGATCGTCCAAATCAAATCTATCATTTTCAGATATTTGCATTTGATTAATACTTTGGTTTGCTTCTGTTTTCACCTTATGGATTAAAAAAGTTCAAGACATTGTTTGTTTTTTAATTAAGATGCAGTTAATATATAGTATAGTATACAGTTAGTATCATATATTTTTGTAGTGAACAAGAATCCAATCCAATATATTGAATAGCAATTTATTATTTTTTTTATCTAGACCTATTAAAAGAGTTAAAAGAACCTTAGAATAACTTACAAAAGCTCCACTACTATTGAAAGTGCCATGGCTGGAGTAGGATTTGAAACCAGATGATAAACCAACACGTGACGGACCAGATCTGCCTTGGCTAGTTGAACTCATATTGGCAAATACACTTTGAATCTATAATAATTTTGAAATTTATAACAAAGAACAACCAAAGAGTTCAAAACTTCTTTACATAAGTCATAAAGATATATATATATATATATATATATATATATACTTAATAAAAAAATATCTAATAACATATCTACTTTATCCTGTTATTCACTAGTAGCTTACCAAGATACTTTAATAAAGTAATCAAGAATCAACCCTACCTGCGTAGTAGATCTTTCTTTTACTTTTTTCTGCTTTTGAGTTGTCGATGGTACGTTGCCATCGTGCTCAACTTTAACTTCGACATTTTGTTGCGTATCTTTTGGTGCAATTCTGTAACATATTTTGTATTCATAAGTTAAAATTATATTTATTACATCATAAGTAATTTAAAATACTAACCTCTTATATCCTAAATTTGGTGTAAAAATCTTTTTTTTTGCTGCAAAAATTGGCAATTTTTTTGAAGTGTTAGGCCGGTTATTATCCATCTTTAAGTTTTGGGTAATTTTTAAAAAAAATTTATTAAATAGGCAATACGTTAATTGTCTTCATACATTTTATTATAGAATATTATGATTTATTAACTAAATAGGTAGGTACGAATATTTTAAAATTATTAACTAATCATGATGCAAGATATTTGATAAGTTATCAAAATATGATATGGAGCACCTGCAGTTGGTGTTTAATCAGAGATTAGATAAAATCTTACCCATCGTGTTTCACCCAAAATCTTATTAGTTATTACCAAGTTTGGTGACTTTTTAGTATTTTGACATTGTAGTTCATCAAATTAGACATTATGCAAGTTTAAAATTATATAAATTACATTTCCATACAATTTCACAACAATATTGTCATAAACTTTTCATTATTTTGTAGGGGTTACTTGAACAAACATGTTCAACGTTAGTCTTTTTAATAGTAAGTATGTACAAACCAAAATGTCTGCAGTTGGTTGTTTTGACAGTTTAATCCATAGAAAAGGTATTAACTAGGTTTATTCCTTTAGAGGGAGAATGTAATGTTTTCAATTTGCACTGTTAAACTAATTGAAATTAACATATTTAACAGGTATCTAAAATTCTTGTGCCTGGGTATCAAGATCTCTAGTTAGTATACTCGGAAATACACAGCATAATACTTTTTAACACTTTTTATTATTATATTTTAATATACAGTATTAACATTTACAACTGAAATCTAACAGATAGGCAGTATAATAATAAAATTATATATATATATTTTTTTTTTTTTTTGAAAAAACATACATTATTAAAGTAAAATATTCATAGACATGAACAATGATAATTATAAAACATAGAATAATAAATTGTATAAATAATATAATGTATTTGTCGAAAATATAAGGTACAACAAATAATATTTATATTATAAACATAAGTATAATTTTTAGAGATCGTAATGAAAATCAATTTAATTTTGAGAATATATTAATGTTACTCGGTATTAGTAACAACAAATAACAATTTTCTTTTCGTTAAAAAAAAAATTTACTAACATTTTAAATATCAAAATGGATTAAAAAAAAAATGGTATTACATCATTTATTTTGAAGGAAATTTTTGTTTAACACTCTATTATTAATATGAAAAACAAAAAATAATACTCAAGATGTATCCAACACAGATTGTCAAGTTTCATTAGTTCTATTGCATAATTTTTATACATAGATTAATACAAAAGCGTATACAATGTAATTGTATATTTATATCATATATAATTGTTGACTTTGTATTACTGACTGTGCGTGTGCATAACTTTAAATAATTTAAATTAAAGACAAAATAATCTATAAGTTATACAATAAAAATATTGACTTATTATAAAATGAATACTAGTAAAATAAATGTTCTTGGGACTCGAGGCAATACTGAACTAATAATTGTAATAATACTATTATATAATTTTAATACATTAATAAAAAAATAAAACAATTCCACCAAAACATAAAATTCTTAAATAACACTGACTTTGGGGGATAATCATCAGAACGTAGACAATTTTATTGCTTATTCCCTAACAGTTGATATAAAATATTACCCTGTTTTATTGCACATTATATTGTTAAATCAAACTTAGAACTATCACATTAATAGTAAATATTAGTTTGTTGACCATCACTAACCGAATGTGTCTGTCCCATTAAAGATGTATATAAAATGTAATAAAATTATATGAAGTCAAAATTTTAAAAAATTACACTATTAATAAAAACAATCTATTGACATAACAAATAATAAATAGTGATGTTCAAAAATGTTATTAATACAGACATATACGAACATGGTTGTTTATTTTAAGTGGTTTAAATAAATTATAATCTATCACCTACTCTACTGTAAACCCGCAAGTTTCTTCAACTGCTTGACTAAGTTTGTCAAGTAGCTTTTGTTTACTCTCATATTTCGGTAAATCAAGACGGTTGAAACAAGTATGTGCCTTGGGTAAATTATCAGTGGGCACATCAGTTAAGTGAATAGTGAACAAACGTGGGCCGGCTGCTCCTGTCGATCCTTATGGAAAAAATAAGATATATTTTATTATTAGGCCTGTTTTACACCTACACGTAATATAATAAAACGCGTTTCAAAAACGATGCTCAATGCTTAAAAACATTTTTTTTTTAATTGCAACACACTCCATCCCAAGAAAATAAATAATGAAAATAAATTTTTTTTTTAAATAATTACCTTGTAGAGCTTTAAAACCTTGAAGTGGAACTCTGGAGCTACCAGTAACAAATTGTAATAATCTAAGCCGCATTTCTTGGCTGTAATGTTGTTCAATAACTTCCCAAAACCATTTCACAACTGGCATGTCAGCAGTACAATGCTAATTTAAAAATATGATGTATTATTTTTCACTGGGATAATTATAAAAATAGTAAGCTTACTTTCAGTCTGGTATTTCGCTTCCAGTCCTCAATATCAATTGTACCAATACCACTGATGATCAACTCGATCTCACGTTCATCAAACGGTTTCAATAACGATCCAGGCACTACTTCGGTTAGCCCTTTTTGCAATGCTAAAAACTGTTGTTCAATACCTCTCATAAATCTATATGTTACATACAGCTTGACATATTCTTTTTTATTGTCTTCTGTTAACTGAATATTTCTACCATTGGTTTTGAGTTCATGTAATTTTAACACACCAAAACTACTTTGTTCGACGGCAAAAGTGGTATCAATTATGTCTTTCTCCAATTGATTTTCTCTACAAAAACAAAAATAAATCAGTCGATAGTTTAACACTATATATAAAGCCAGGTCCAGACTGCCGCACAAAACATTAGCGGATGTTAGTCTACTATTTGAGATACTGTGTGCGCTAATAATGTGTATGATCAGTTCTTTGATGTTTCAATGTACTGACAGAGCACGGAACATTATCGCAAATGTTTTGCACGCCACTGTAGACTTGGCTTAAAATGAAAAAAAAAATTAATTAATTACAATAAGTATGTAAGACTACGATGTAGTTCAGGATCGACTCCTTCAATATCTTCCAATGTAATGGGTTTGTTCAATAACATCTTATAAAAGGGAGTTGTAAATCCGCCATCAATGTAATGGCCATGAAAAATAGCGACTCCAATGATTCGACCAACAAAATGGAAATAAGACAAATGTTCCTGAACAAAAAACATTTGTTGATATAATACACAGCTTAAGTGTTTTAAAGTGGAAATTTATGTTAATTACTGGATTTATAGAACTATCTGGATTGATTTGTAGAGTATAATTGTCTTCTCTAGAATACTGAAATAATCCATATTGTGGATTAAGCATTTCATGGGACAATAAATATAACCATTCTCTCGCTACACCACCATAATCCAGACCTTCTTCGCCACGAAATTTCACCATTAATCGCTTACGGAGATCTTTTGGCCTCATTTTCATAACGCCCCTATACGACTCCTAAATAAATTATAGTATTAATAAAATTGAACATCAAAATTGCATAGCACAACATACTTCAAATATTTCTGATCTGGAAACTTCAAGTCTCATATGGCCGGTTTGTGGTTGTAGTGCAGCTAACTCAGTACGTAATATTTTTTGTTTGGCTACTAAATCGCGTTTGTATTTAGGCAAACATTCAGAATCAGTCTCTATACTTTGTGGACTATCAAAAACAGGTCGAACTTGAGTCCTTTGTTGGCTTAAAGCGGTAGTCTCACTAGTATTCGGTAATCTAGTATTTTCTTTATTGTTCATAGAATTGTGTTCATTTGTCGAGGTACTTTGATCACTTTGTTTTCTAGTAAAATTAAAATTATTCTATATACAATATACATCATTTAATAATTGATGATTATTAATCTCATACTGTAATAAATTTGCTATAACTGCTGAAGAAAGTCTTGGATCAGAAAAGGTAGTAGTACGATTGTTGTGATCTACATAGTAATAACGCCCACTTGTCGTTTGACGCACTTCCCAACCCGACGGCAATGGTCCGAGTTGTTGTCCTGAAGTTACAGTAATATTTCTCGGGATTCTCGGATCATGCCAAGTGCTTAAACCAGTTGGTGTATGGTAAAAATATATTTGACCTTGAGGGGTAGTTCTAATTTCTGAAAGGCAAAATTAATACAATTTGAATTATTCTTGTTGTATTTTACAAAACTTTTAAACTATCCATGAACTATCATAAATACAGGATGTGACGTGAGAATAGACCTTTTTATCATGCATTATACCAAATTTGTAGGATTGATAGAAAGTTGGTGGGGATGTTATTTTACTCTCCACAATATGTAATTTTATAATTAGTAGCTATCATGCCTTTATGGACTTTGGATCGCCGTGTTTATGCTTACTATTACGTAAATACATACTGATGAGTCAGTTGTGAACATTGCGGCAATTTAGACTATATTTTAATATGAGCTATAGCCTGTAACAACGGTTCCGACTCCACTCCTAAAACCCTTTTGGGATGGGTAAATTCCTTTTGGAGTAGAGTAACAGTAATAAAAAGAAATAACCACCAGGCCCAAAAAGAACTGTAGAGACCCTGGAAAACGTAGAGAGGGTAAGAGAAATATTATTGAGAAGCCCTATTCGTTCTGCATAATATCCCCAAACATGTGTGGATGAAAATGGTCATCACAACACAGATGTAATTTTTCAAAAATAATATTTTTAAATGGCAAGTCTAAAGGTATGTTCTAATAAAACTAAATAATTTATTTTCAATAATTAATGGTATAGTGCTTATTTCAAAAAAGGTCTATTGTCGTTTTGCATCCTTTACATCTAGAACTAAACCTAAACACCATTTTTTTTATTTACCATAACCAGAAGGTAGATCCATTGGCTGCTGTATTGAGGAACTTTGGGATGATACATTTCTAGTAGAACTGTGTGATGGTCGACTGCTCGGACTTCTATTTCTAAAAATAAAAATATTCAATGACTTCTGCACATTTTAATATTAAATTAGAGTATATAATATTTTACGTTTGGGCAGTCAAACCGCTGCAGTGATTATTGTTATTGTTGTTATTTATCACATCAGATTCATTTTCTGCATTAGAAATTTCCGTAGGCGCTGGAGCTGGTGGACGTGATGTATTATTCGCAGTTGAATCTTTTGAATGAGCTCTACAAAAAAATTATAATTTAATTAATAATATATAACACAGTGTATCTCGCACTGTTGGACAAATTTTACGCAAATTTTTCAAAACAATAACATTTATAATTAACCTATATGCACACATATATTTTAACCTTACATGGAAAGTCATGGGAAAATGTTGCACACGGGGCCACTTAGAGTACACTTAAGGGTTAATATAACAACAAAAATATTAACAATACTTTAATCTATACTCAATAAAAGACAAACTTTGTAGGTTTAACCCATTGAGTAGTCTTTGTTCTATGGTTAACATAATACAATCTCCCATTTTCAGTTTTTCGTTCCTCCCAACCATCTGGTAATGGTGAAGGTTGTCGATTATGGCTCGAACTAGCAGTTCCGTCTTGAGATAACAAAGAAAAAACTAGCTGACCTTTAATGGGCACCGGATCATCAGAATTTAGCTTTGTTAAATCCATTTTTTGATCTATAACATATTTTTTTTTTTTATTAACAACCAAGCTTAGTTTATGATTTCAATTTTGTGGTTAAAACTCACAGCCTGTATCTTTGTATCTTTGAATTTGATTCCATGACAAGCGAACACACCCAAGAAATCCACTGGCTGGCTTTTGTATATTTTTATGTATTTTTTTATGATTCCATAATGTAATTGTGACATGATCACCTTTACTAAGAAATCTGTTAACAGATATCGAGCAACCAGAGTTGAAAATATTTTAATAAATTAGTTATTTTAGATAATATGTTGTTAATAAATAATTACAAATCATAATGCTGGTTCCACTGTGGATCACAGGTCGCTTTACACGTATCTGTAGTGTAACACTGTCCCGAACCGTCGACACTAATTTTAGCAAAAGCATCAGGAGGAAGTCCTTTACGAAAAAAGAAAATTACACGCATTAATAATTTATTTGTCTAATAAAAAAAAATACTTTGTATTATTAAATAAACAAATGAAAATCTTACGAAATAAGTCTTTCTTCAATAGGTTCTGGGCACACAACACTGTAAATGAAAAAAACAATATCTCTTTAGCTGATATTTTCTTAGAAAAAGGAAAAAAGAAAAATTATGGTCTAAAGCAATTTTATAGCATCAAACATTTTACTAAAACATAAAGTATGTAAAATTGTAATATAAATTAAACCATTGAATAATATTCCAAAGGCAATAATTGAAAGCGATACGCACCATTAAGTAAAACCTTTTATCATCAAATTTATTTTATTATTGTATAAATTATATTTGGTGACAGCCAATGTCGACCTCGATATGTATGTTATGTAATGATTTGAACAAACTTGTTTTATTGGTTTGACCATTTTATAGAGAAAAAATGTTTAATTTAACATTATATTTTCATGTAGAATACCTGTAAAACGGATCTTGACGGTTCCTCCAGATCGTCTACTAGCTGAAGTACCAGACATATTTATTGATCATTAATATTAGGTATAATGGATATTTATCAATGAAGTTGAAATCCGGTAACAAAGGTATACATATGTATATATATATATATATATATATATATATATAAATATAAACGGTGTATTTATAATAACATAAGTTTGTATAATGTCACACGAGATGAACAGAATACGATTTTAAATGAACATTGCAATATTATCACAGACATTGAATAACAATGTAAACACATCGCGAACGGATTTTGTAATTTCTACATAATTCGTCTGGTCTCGCTTTTCGCGCAATTTCACTTCGTATCATAACAACCGTATTTCGCAGTTCTTACCATACACTATGGCCAGCCTAATTTACATTGTTTTATTATGAAATTATGAAATAATCACTGTGCAGTTATCTGGGCAAGAACGACCATTTCCACAGTCAAGTGATTGGTATGTTCATGGAAGAACGAATAACCGCGCTTTTCTTTCCATAGACCATATTATAAAATTGTTAAATGACAATTATTTTCTATAGGTAGGTACTTGTGTATAAACTGCAGTGTACACTTTTCAGTGCGTACTGCATAATATATGTGTATACATAAAATTATACATTTTTTTTATTAATTTCAATTTTCAACCCAGAAATCAGAATTCAGTAGAATATTATCGAGTCAATACTTGATTTTATAAACATTAATTTTTATACATATAAAGAAGTTATTATTTTTTTGATTTTACAAAACTATTTTAGAAATAAACGTTTTAGAAAACAAAATTTGTGAATACAATTACACAATGTTACAATAATAGTAACATATAGTGTACAGAAAAAATACATGTTTACAAAAAACTTTTTTTTGTAAATTCGTTCGAACCCGACCATCCCTTAATCAAAAACTTGGCAGAAAACATCGGGCGAACACAGAGCTCATTCTGCCAAGCAGGCGCCCGAACTTAGACCTTCGGGCCTACTTTCGGACATTAGTCATAAGCAAAAAAAAAAAATTAATACACTAATAATTTGAATAAAACTTGTTGACGGTTTCATTAATTCTAATGTGTCACAACGTATTTCATAAACCAAATAACTAATACTAACGGCCGGAAATACTTTTAAAAGGTTTGGTACTACACCGCGGTACAGTCCTGGCACGCCCTCTTTTTTTTTAAATGTTTTTACCACGGGTTTCTTAGTCCGTTTATCCGGGACTTGTTCTAACTTTAAAGAAAACATGGAAAACAATATCATTGATACATCGTTGAAAATGAAATCTGTTACAAACTTACGCGGTGCTTGAAGACAAGTTCTTGCCAACATCAATGGATAGGTGCAGAATTTCGCACACAAGCTGGATAATGGATAATGCGCCGCTTGCCAACGTCAATAGAGTGTTGACCTTACTACCGTTTGAGTATTTAATTCGAATTGTCTTTGTTGGAAAAATAAAATAAAAATTACTTCTCAGAGTTAAAGTTTACTCGGCGGAAACAGCTGTCACTTCATACACTGCCAGGTCTTGTACCGGCATACGGTAAAACACCCATCAGGCTTGGTACGAAGCCTCGGTAAAAACAGCGCACACCTTCGCGGTAATACATTTTCTTAGCACAATCCATGCATCTTATGTGCTCGTTACTCTTGCTGATGGCCAATCTCGTCTTGAGCACGTCCAACGGGTAAGTACACGATTGGCTCTCACTGCCGGCAATGGAACCGGTCGCCTATGGACAGCCGACAGGTCTGCCTGACTCGATCCCCGGATTGATTTTTTCACTTTGTCTAAATTTAGCTCATTCCTAAATTTATATTTTACTAGCTGTGTTATCCGGCTTCGCCCAGGATAATGCAATATGCCTATTTTTTTTTTATTTTATCCTAGCTAACGGAGAGGTTGTGTTGTTTTGAATTCACGTTTTCCATTTTTACCCCTTTAGGGGTTGAATTTTGGCAAATTCTTTCTTAGTCGGTCTCTACATCATAAAACAAAACTACTAAACAAAATTTCATACTCATAGCTTCAGTGATTCTGTCTAGGCGATGATGAATCAGTTAGTCGGGTCATGTTATTTTATATATATAGATTGTAACCGACGGGAAATTTACATAATATACACATCTCGTTGGGCTGGACATACATAGGTAATGGTCAAGCAGCGAGCTAAACGTTTTCGGAAACTCCCATGGGCCATATTGTTTAATGAATATTTTATTATTAGTATAATATTTTCAAAGACCAAAGTAAAAAATACAAAAAACCGCCACTCTCTTCGAAAAAAATCATCATCAAATCTCTTCGGGCAATGACTCATTACAACAGATAGGTACTATATGGTAGAGATTATACTATTATAATATGCCTACATGTTTTTCTCAGAGGTAAGAGTTTCATTCATAATATCGTAAATTTGTATAAAATAAATAATAAATTATTATCGTTGGGAAAAATGTTGACATAGAATGTACACTGTGTGTATTATCCATAGATCTCTCGCGTCATAGATACAAATCTCAGTGGCTACTATTAATGCCAGGCAATTAAATAAAGTCTTCCATTTTTACTCCCTTTTATTACCCCTTAGGGGTTGAATTTTGGAAAATACTTTCTTATCGCATATGTAGAGCATTAGAGAAACCACTATTCTAAATTTCAAGTTCATACATTTTATAGTTTTTGAGAAGTAGCTATCAGCGAGTGAAAGATATTTGACATTTATATATATATAGATTAACTTTTGTACATAGCTAATTAGTTGATTATAAAACAAATTTGCAGTTATGGCTACTGACTTACAATGACAATTTTTTATTAGTGCCATTACCCATATAGTTAGGTAATGTGCTAACACTTTTTATCTTTCACAAATATTTAGAAGTACTTTGGATAAGAAATCAAACCGTTTTGAACCCTTATTGAATAATCCTAGTGGCATTTTCTAGATAAAAATGTACGTGCTATTAATTTTGAAAATTCATTATACGTAGTTTGGTCACCTGATTAAATTTTTTATGGAGTGCAATTTTCTTTTTTAAAGAGGAACGTAGCTCTTTAGAAAACCGAGCAAGATAACTAAAACTGTTAATATATATTTTTGGCACAAAAATATCAAGAGAGGAGGATTAAATAGAAAATATCCAGAGCATAATTAACATTATTACATATTATATATTATTTTTATAGATATAAATTTATTGCAACTTATATGTATACAATATAATAATTATAAACATTTAAATGTGGCACAAAATACATTATTATAAAGGCATTACAATATTAAATTATACATTATATATTTAAATAAAAATAAGTCTAGCAGTAAAGTTGCATCTATAAAAATGTATATCTACTCCACTAAGAGTGTTTTACATCTATTAATAACCACTACTACTAAAAATATTGTAAATTTGTTTATACAAATGCAATTGACTAACTTGATATATTTAGCAAAATACTGTTACCATTATATAAGTACTTATCAAACAAAAATGCAACATTTTTCAACACTCAAAGAACATACATTACATCAAAAAAAAAAAAATGAAAAAAACATAAAGAAAATTGGTTTACTGTACTATAAAAAAATCAACTTAATATAAGAAAAATAATCGTAAAGTGTTTAGAAAGTAAAGGAAATAATTTTAATAAAGCTATTATAGGGATTTAAGAATACATCAAGTAAAATAAATAAAGTGATAGAGAAAATAAGGTTTGGTAGTTTTACATGTTTATATCACAAATTTGACATTGTATAGTTTAATAAAAAAACTAAAATATAAATAAAACTACAAATTGTTCGATATGACAAGGATTATATTGCATAAATATTCAGCGAAGTAATGTATGGATCATAACATCTAACAACACTTTACCATAAATCATACAATTTATGTCTAAATTAGTCACAAATTAAACACAAGTAATGTACATTGTTTCCATTTTAAGCACAAAAGTTAAATTTATTGGCACAATGTACTCACAATGATTAACATATTCATTTTTTTTAACACCATAATAGCCCAATATTTTTAAGGACTCTTTAATTTTAAAATGTAATGTGTACTTCACAATTGTCATCTAATTTTTAACAGTCTATTCTATGACTTTAAAACAAAAATACATTTATTTCAAAGGCAAAATTGAGCGTTTGGCGTTTATAATATAATACTATAACATCGTGGACTGTGCAATAATACAGATGCTAAGATATGCATTACCATTATAACATACATTTGAAGTCAAGCATTATAGTTAAATGAAAATAAAAATATATAAACTTCTAGAAAAATAAATTCGATACAATTTTTCTCATTTAAATGCAATTATTTTTATACATAAATTTAACTCAGTAAAATAAAAGTGTAATTTATAAAAATCATTAAAAAAAAAAAAATCATAATCATAATAATACATAAAAATAATTAATTCTTAAAATAAAAATTAGCTAATATTACCTATAATTAATGGTATACACAAATGATACATTGGATTCTATAAAAAAAAATGTAATGATTCACATTTAAAAACATTAAATTATTATATTTTGTTTTAAACAACTAAAATATAAACAAAGCAAAAAAAAAAAAAAAAAGTGCTTAATAATATAGTTTTAATTTACATTTTACTGGATTAAATTCAATATTATAAACAACATCAGTGTGCAATAATCAACTTATTATTTTGTTTCCAAGTTTTATTAGTTAACACAGTTTTACTTTTGAAATATTATAAAATGTATTAACTCTTATCTGTATCGAAACAAATTATACGTAAATTATTATTTGTGCTAGTAATTATATAAATATGAAGAAATTATAATACAGTCATAAGCACAAAACTAAAATATTTAAGTTGAACTGAGTATAATATATTAATTTTAAACAGCAATAGCAAAATAATAATTTTTGCTTTAAGAATCACGAATCAAATAACTTCATTTTTCTCATTGCATATTATAATATGTTATGTTTTTAAGTTATACACATTAGGTGTGTACACTTAGTTATATTTAATTACAAATTGTATACGGTGACCATTTTCTCTGAATAATGAATGAATATGGGTAACATTTTACAATTTTGATTCATCAAGCACTATACGATTACTTTATACAATTTATTCACAAATAATTCAAAATTAACGTCGGATATAAAAAAAGTTAATAATTCAATCAGTAACAAAATCCCAAATAAATTAAAGTATATTAATTATTGCCTTAATGATTTTTAAAAAAAAATAATATGATCAGATTCCAAATGATAAACCTAAAAAGAGTTAAGTCTGTTGTTTTACTGTCACATTCATAATTATCATACAATTTACTTTCATCTTGTAAAATTCCAATTACGGAGCATGATAAGGAGATACGTATGCGGCAGGGAACAATCCTTCCCTAGTACCGATTTCCCCTCGCCACCAGTTAACGTCAGTACGGTTAGTCACTGTTATGACATCCCCTCGCTTGAAAGCCAACTCTCCTTCTTCTTGTGGTGTAAAATCGTACATTCCAATTACTAGAGTCTAAAGTGAAAATAAAATTTAACACTAAATTAAGAATATAATAATATATATTAAAATAATACATCAATAGTTAACTCTAGTTACTTACAGGCTTTTGATTAAATCCATTTTGAGTTGCTGCTGGCATGTCCCTAAGTCGAACATCTTGTGATCGAGATACTGACGATTCACGATGATAGTCGACCAATTCATTAAGACTATCAAACTTCACTACCCACAAAAAAAATTTAGCTTGGGCGTCTCGCAATACTTTGAAATGTTGTACACCATCACCACACCTATTGGTCAAATATATTCGTTAGTAACATAATATCGACGCCTCTTACAAAAACTAACAAATTTCATGTTCTTAAATAAAAACTAACACATTGTCTTTTCCGGAAAAAAAATACTTTTATTTTACATTAGTTAAAACTATTAGTTTTTGTAAGGAGCGATGATATGATATTGGTTTAAGGCAACCATATCATATTATAATAGTTACTGCTTATTAATTATAAGTATTTTTTTGTGGGATGATCAATTTCAATATTTCAGAATTTTATCAAAATAGGTTTTAGAAATATAAAAAAAAAAGTTTTTATTTCTTTGTACCATAAATACTACTTTCTAAGAAATTTACAATTGATTAGTTTTATGAAGAATGTGTTATAAGTATACAACAGAAAAAACTGATGCAATTTATAACAAAGTATTGCTATTTATACTTTATATTTCTTTAGCTAGACTCTAGAGCGAGTTACTGTGTTTCAATACATTTATTATTATATGTTTGACTTACTTGACAGATAAGGAAAAATCTCCTGGCGAGCTTTCACTTATTCTTACTAGGAAACAACCGTCGGGCTGTTGATCTAATAATTTTTCGGCGTCAGCTCTTGTTATTTTTCCGTAATACCAGCTGAAATTACACAAAACAGCCAAGTTATGTGATTGTCGATAGTAAAATTTGTTTTTGACTCACTCGTGGTTCTTCATTTCGATATAGTTGCTGGGTATCAACCCTTCTTTGCCTTCGAACTCTGCTCGAAACCAGTTGACATCGTCTTCCATGTTGATTACCTGAAACACAAACGTACCGTGTTGAACTACACCGAATGAGTAGTGCGCTACCCAAAAATCCAACTAGACAATACACAACCAATCGCACTCACCCTTAGGAGACTTCCTTTTTTGAAACTCAGTTCGTCTGGAGCCGTCGCTTTGAAATCGTGTTTTGCAATCGCTTCCATGGTAAGTAGTCGTTGTTGGTACTCGGATGCTGGACGCTGACCAACAGATCTACGCGGCCAATATCTAGCAGAGACGGCGCTTCGCTACCGGAAATTTGTGTTTTGGTGGACAGGGCGACGACGACAAGAGGGCACTGAACGGACACAACACGAACCTCGGCCTAACAAGCAACAGCTATACAACAATGTGTGACAAAACAACCTTTGGCGAATAGATAAGAACGCGGTGGATGGCCTCGCGGCTCGCACTATAGTGAATAGTCGCACAGGCCACAGTGCACACCACTACCGCTGAACGCTGATAGCGCGCCGACAATTGATGTGATAACTGCAAGTTAGTTGGCCATGACGTCCGAATGTTTACGTTGAAAGTTTACCTTTAAACACTTCGGTAGGGAAAAAAAATATTATGCTTTGCCCCGTGAAAACAATATATAATATTGTTGATGTAATAGATTACTATCATAAACGTACGTTGTCCCTGAACAATATTATATTAATATAACGATGACACTGCGGCGGCGACGGTGGAATAAAAATATTTTCGGTCGTTCATCGTTTGTGGTCGTTGTAGACAAAAGCGGCATTGCCAAATTTCGTCGGGATCGTACGGCTCGACTCGTTCGGTACGACCTTGAAGCGGTTTTGAACAATGCCCCCAACAGGTCTCTCTCCGGGCTCACGGTTCATAATACACAATATACATGAGATACACGGCACACATACAGCGGGTGCCGCCGGATTTATTATTATTGTGTGATATGCATACAATTGTACGCCTAGAACACTGTATAAGCCATAGGGCTCTCAGCGCGGGTAATGGGCGGCGGCCAGTGTGACATAGTGTATATAAACTTGCTTATAAATGTAGTATAATATTATGCACCATAAATTCAAACAATGTATTGTGTATTTGTGTACGTTTTATTGTTTTTTTTTTTGTTTTATACTGACTCGTCCTTCCATTGAAAACGTACTATTTTAACCGCAACATACGTAAATCGGTAAATGTATTTTGTACGCATAATTGGTTTACAAGGGCACAAGGGCCTGCAGCGTCCTCCCTCATAAGAAACGCTTGATATATATTATATACATAATGTAATTCATCATCCGGTACCGAAACTCCGCCAAACTTGATCAACGCATTACACAGATAATAAATAATTAACACTATAAATAAACATTAGATATTTTTTTGTTGGCTCAGGTCAGTGTTCATCACGGTAATAACCAAAACGTTACTATAACTAGTTTTATTTAGCTGATAAATAGTCCTTAAGGAATTTTTACTAGTTCAATAATTTTACTCTGATTGACAATTGAAAACTTTAATATATCGCCATAAACTTTTATTTCAAGTATTACAATTTCCTTAATTTTTAATAAACTTGTGATTTTATAAGAACCAAAAATTTAAATTATTTAATTTATAGATCTTTACGATTAAAGTAAGTATATTATTATAATTTGGCATAAGAGTTTGAGCACTAGGTTTTACTTGACATTCAATTATAGCTGGCCCCACTAAAAATTGTATATAATTACACAGCCAAAATGATTAAATATCAATTAAAAAATTAAAAACTGCGTGGCGTTCCTGATTTATTTTAATGCAATCTACGTTTCTTTTGTCTCTAGAGAAACGATTAATAGCTATCGCAAATTATTAACACAGAATATTAACTTCACAAATTACTGCAGTGGAGGTACCTATTGGACAGACAAGTAAAGTTATCTTATTCATGGTTTTATTACAGGTAATTAATAATAGTTAGATAATATTTAATATTTAATAATATTTGATTTAATATTTGATAATATTTAGTTAATATTTATTAACCCTAACCAGTCGGTCATAATATTAGTAATAAATTAATGGGTTGAGCAATTTTTTTATACTTCAAGATTACGATTGCCTGGTATACTATGTGCCATTACTCCCATGCAATTATTATATTATGTAGTCAAAAAAAAATTTTAAATACTACTTTAATCGAGCTGTTTATTAAAATAACAAAATCAACTGACTGAATTATTATCAATTACTAATTCGAAAAATTACCAAAATAATTACTATTCGCTAGAGACAATTAGTCTCGTTAGAAAAATTAATATTCTTGTTATTTTATAAAAAATTAAAATCTATCATACCCGACAAAACAATTTGCAAAATATTGTTTTATATTTAATATTTATAAACATTATTATTTATTGTCATTTATAGTATTCGAAAAATGTGATTTCTGCACTAATTGAATGTGTATACGTTTTAAACATAAAATGTTTAATAATACAATAAGACGTACTTTGTGTTTATATTATTATTCAAATGACGTTTCATTAAAGTTTTCTACTGTAAAAAAAAGTATAATGGTATTATTTATTTTGTCAAAACGCTACAACAATTTTTCATTTAAAGTGAAGAATGATGTAGGCTTTCTGACGGTCACAAAAATAGCAGGTTGATCTACTTTCAAGTTCAGATGAAACTCGAATTGCTGTTACATATATTTCCTGGAATTCAGAATGTCTATAAGACTATATTAAGCTCTCAGTGGTGGACCTGGCCAAAGGGCGATAGAGCAATCCCCTTTACATATCCAAGAATTTGGGTCTCTTGAACTCGTAAGATCTATTATTCTATTATTTCTAAAAAAAATTAATTAATAACGACTGATTTTATGTAAATAATGGGCCTAATTATTGTATAATTGTTATCAATTCACAAAATACATAATATTATGTATTTAAAGTAAATTTATTTGATTGGATGGCCCTCACGTGTTATTTTACTGTTATCGTAGAAAACTTATAGAAATACAATAAAGTATATTTAAATCATGACTTAACTTAAACTCTTTGAATGCTTTAACGAATTTCTACTGAGTAACGTTAGTTAAATTATTTTTGAATTAATATATTTAATGTAAAATGTAATATCGTCATCATGTTCAGGGACAGCGCGAACGCAGTCCCGCTACCAAAAATTACGTGTCCGAGATATTCCTATTTGGAATACTCGCAGGGGTCAACCGTCCCGAGGTGCAATGGGAAAGTCTCGTCCTGGAGGAACCGCCTCGGTGATCACGGTTAACCTCGACACCAAGTAAGTATGCCTGCCGGCCGCGCAATTCGCCCTTAAGTAACGATATCGTTCAGTTAAAACCATGTAGAGCCCGTCACGGTACCTTTCCGCCAGACGACGATCACTGCGCTTTTTCCAACAACCTCTCCGTCCGTTATGACTGGTAAAAACAATTGAGTAACAAATTTTCGCATATGTCGCAAACTTCAAGACCGCCACACTCCACTGACAGTAGGCGGAAATGCAGCAAAAACCAATACCGGTAAGACGGAAGCAAACAAAGCCGCCATCTATCGGCGGCGCTCAGAGTTAGGAAATACATGTACAACGTCGCGTTGGAGTTTCGGCCGGTGGCAGTCCGCCGCGGTATTGTCGGCAACAAAAAAATATTGTTAGGTCACATGTCGATTAATTTATTTTCTAATGTTATTTTTAAAAATATGTTCAATCGAATCGGTATTCAATAAATTATTATATACATTTCGCTTTACCAAGAAAACCTGAACAAAACTGTTATCCATTAGGAATTTTGGTGTTAAGGTACTTTTTTTTAGCTTGGATGATTTAGGGACTTGTCATCCAAAAAAAAAAAAACATTAATAAACATGCCCCAAAAATTAACATTAGATTACATATCACATTTGAAATTAATGAATTATACAAATTTGTTTAAACTATTAAATAATTTTAAAAGAAAAGTAATACTATAATAGTAATAATACTCTAATAGTTGATTTATTAAAAAAATGCATAGCATTTCATAGAATTTCACTAAATTCTTGTGAAGCTTTGTATTTTTACCAATATAAATTGTAATAATTAATTTAGATAATGACTAGGTAAGCAACATTTTATGTTTGTTAAGGTTATATTTTATTTATGTTTTAATAAATGGCTTAAAAAAAGTTAAATTTTTATGTTATTATTTAACATTAGTTGGATCCGTCGTTGGGTTTTTAACTTTATGAATGTCATATGTTCGACGTTTTTCAACAAATACGTAGGTAATACTGATTGTATTAAAATTAAAAATATTATGTATAATATAATTTATACACACCATGTATTACTTATTGTAATGTTATTAAAAAAATAAAAAATACTTATGCCAGTAAATACTCATTAAACTTACTGTTATTTAAATAATATGTATAGTCGAGAAACACAATTATTACACAAATAATTATATTATTTCTAGGCGGTGCATAGCTTGAATACGCTACACTAGCGGGAATTAAAAATAGAATTTTAGAGATTGAGTATCCTAGTAAAGTATTTACTATTCTGTTTTTAAATAGCATGTATCTTATAGCAAGTACTATGTAAACGAGTACATTTTGTTCATTTAGCTAAATTGTGTAATAAACTTTTGTATATATTTTTTTCAATAACGCAATCAACATAATATAGGAATATTATCGATTTTCATATTTTAGTGAGATGTATGTATATTATAGCGGCTTCCGAAGAAACTTTGTTGTGTAAATTTGTTTAAAATGGTTTTTTTGTGGTTCCAAGATCAGGAACAATGCGTTTTTTAAGTCAATAAATAAAATTGCGAAGAATTAATTATTCAGTTAGACAGAACTATCCGGGCTTTTTTTTGTAAACATACAATTTTTAAACAAGGTATTTTTTTTTAACTCTCTTCCGGTAATAAAATTCGATTTTTTGCAGTTAGGTCGTTGTTTATATATTATAAATAAATATTTTACTAATGTTGCCATGATAATCGTACCGCACTCTAACGGTAAAATGGCGATGTCGGCTAAATGATACAAATATCAACGGCAAGTCGTCTGATCGTTGCCGTTTGTTGTCGTTTCGTGTTGTATCTGTCAGCTAATTTGGTATAAAATATTATGCAGTTGTTAACATGAAAATTTGACGGGTTTTTAAAACTTAATTTTTAGTTAAAAACCAAGAGACGCAAAATAACGGTATAATTTGAGCAGTGATGATCATCGCAATGAACGGTCGGTAGATGGCGCTCACTTAATGCTTACGATCAAACGGCCGGCGGTCACGTTTATTTTCGTTTTCACGGGTTACGATAAGTCTAGTACGTTTCGAATCGTGCCCCGGTTACGTTCATTTGCAAATAATCTTGTCGATACCGTTGGCGGAAATTGTGCTCAAAGTACCAAACGATGCTTATCACGATGCACGCATTGTGTTCGATGACTCGAGTTCTGCGGAAGGCTTATTGCATATAAACCCCCAAATCACTTTCAACAAGCATACTTACCTGGCGTGGAGGTCAACCGTGATCAAATAGGCGGTTCCTCCAGGGTGAGGCCTGCTCATTGCACATCGAGTGGGTTGACCCCTGCGAGTATCCCTAACGTGGATACCTCGGACGCATAATTTTTGGTAGCTGGGACTGCGTACGCGCCGTCCCTAATATTATATATTTGGTTCCTATTTCAATCGTCACCTCATACTAAAACTTCTATGTTTCAAGCTATCGTATGGCGTTATCTATCAGGTGAACATTGACTAACGATTTTCGACGAATAATGTAAAATCTATAAATGGTTAATGGTATTGTTAGACAGACTTATGAGCTTTGATGCCGTTAACAATTCAAGTCGTAAAAAATTGGCTTGAAACTTAATTTTAAATATCTAGTTTATAATTGTAATTTTCCATTTTTATTCATGATCCTCGGACCTCGATATACTTTATAATATTGTGCTAAAAAAAAAAAACCTAAATGATTGTACACGAGCCGTTTATAATTAATATTGGTAAACACGTAATAATTGATAAATATATATAGGTAAACAAAAAAAGTTGAAAATAGTGAATACTATTTATTTTCATAAACTATAAACACACGTTAATAATTCAGTTCAATAAAGTAAGTAAAATTTAACATTTAGTCTTTGTATTGATCGTAAATTGTGCGTAAATATTCTGCAATATTTAAATAGCACAAAATAATATATTGATTTGAATAAAAATCCATTTTGAACTATTGTGTAATATTTGAAGGTTATTATAAAATAAAATAATCTCTTCTTTTAGATTTTAGCCTAACGATACTATACGAGTTTTTATGTCATAATCTAGCGTGATACTTATAATCAGAGGATTGTTCTATTTTTTTTAAATATACCATCAAAAAATATACCATATATATTTAAAATTTACGGGTAGTTTAACAGTACTAAAACTATAGGTTAATTCTTTACTTAAAACTTAAGTATAGACTAAAGTTGGTAGTTGGTACAAATAGCCTTGAATTTGTTTTTCTTTATTGCTTCTTAATTTTGTTTAAAAAAATGTATAAATATATATATTTGAATTTGTACTCAATACTCAAACATGGTTAGTCAATTTTTTTTATTAGGTAATTAAAATTAAAATTGTATTAAATGTACTAGCATTCATAGTTAATCTAAACTTTATAGTTAATATCTTTAAAAAAATATCAACATTAAATATATATTTAGGCTTTTTAGACTTAAGGCCAACGTGAATTTTGTACACTGAATTGTACCGAGCAAAAAAAAAAAAAACAATCAATGCAATCAAATTTCTTGTAAATTTATTCTTGGATTCGTTTGGTAGCAATAATTTCCATCTAGACCTTGGTCTCAACATATGTGAGGTGTAAAGGGAAAAGGGACCTCTTGTTACAAAAAGCGAAGGAGAGGGCCATCGATCAGGGTCAGAAACAAATTTAAGAAAAAAAATATGTTATACTTAAGGGCACTTTATTTTAATTTTTAGCAAAGTTTCATTACTTAAGTATGTAAAATAAAGTTGGTAACATTTAAAAATTTTAAAGCATTTGTTCACAATACACCCATTTTCTGAAAGATAAATTCAAACAAATATAGCTCAGCCAATTTTCAAGATAGGAAAACGATTCTGATTCCAAAATGTTCAGAATTTCGAATAGCCAATAACTCAATTTAATTTTTGCGACAAGAGGTCCTTTTTGCCTCACGAGTCATATATGTTTTAAGAATATAATTTTCAGATAATTCTCATTTAAGCACTATACATTACAAAAATTAATGTTAGTGACTAGTTAAGATCATTTAGTTTCTCCTTAAAAATAATAATTATGCTATAAAATTTAATTAGAATTATACTTTATAAAATATTAAATAAAACACACTATTTTATGGATAGAGAACATGTAAAAATGTGCTTAAGTATATTATTATTCAAGTATATATAAGGGATGTATTGTGTCTAATGTATATAAAATGCCTTCAAAATAAAAATGTCAACATTAAACTTGAAAAATAAATTATCAAATTATATAACTAATGTTAATAAAGAGATGATTGTATTCTCTACTTATTATTTAAAATTAATAAGTTAGCTATTTTCAAACGTCATAAGTAACTTTTACATTACATTAAACAAAAATATGAATAGTAGGTAAATAGTTTTGTGACTGTGAATACATTTTTGTTCAGACTAATATAAACTACTCATTACACTTAATTATTAAAATGTAAAACCAAAATATAAATTAGAAAAACATAACATTACAACACGTTAAAAATAATTATTGTACTGACAGGTGATTTGGTAATATTTAGTTAACTAAGCTTGTCGATGGCAACATCGAGGTAAATGGTCTCTGAGACTGATCAACGACATTATCTAGCAGCATGCCCTCGAGATTCAAGCCGTTTAATTCATTAGCATTACTATAAGAAGAAAAAGAAAAAAGAAATTTAATGATTTAACTATTATTAGTTATAATCTATAATCAATTTACTCAGGAAATTTTTTTTACCTAGGAAGATCTATTATTGTATCGGTTTGTTCTTTAGAAGTGTCAAATATAACTGTTGAAAATTGTTTTAAACTAGAAGTTGAATTGAAACATTCCAAAATGCCATTGTAAACTAGTAAATCATCTACTAGTATCTTGAATAAAATAAAATAATTACATATTATATTTATTTTAATGATGACATCTGTGCAAATATCTTACTGCAAATTCTTTGACTCCTCTATTTGGGGTTTTCGCATAATTCCAAATTTTAAACATGGATACATAAGTAGGCTCATCAAAAACAATGTAAACTTTAGTAACCTTCAACAAAAAAAAAACATAGACTAATATTTAAGAATACATTTAAATACTGTAGATATAAGATTAATTATAATTATTAAATTCCAACCTCTGATGGTAATATTGGAGCCAACCACATATGTGATCCATCTAGTGTATCATTTATTCCATCTATAAGTTTTTCAGGTGTCCGAATATCGTTTTTGTTACTTTGTAAAATATTCACACTATTTGGCCAGCAATTGACATCTAAAATTAAAATAATGTAATGATTTTTTTACTAAATTTATTTTAAAAAAGAATAAATGTTTACTACTTCTAGGTTCTAAATTTATCATTTCTCCAGTTTTGTCAAATACTTGAATACCGTTAAGTCCAATATAATATTGATCACCCCAAGTCGATAGTAATGCAATTTGGTAAACAAACCCAACAGGAATTGTTACATGTTCATAGTCAGTGATACTCTTCCCTAGTAAAACATGATTTAGTATACTACAACATAGTATATTAATGTTTATTGTGTTTATGTAATTATTAATTTATATACTTATAATATGTTCTTTAGGATTAACTATTAAACGTTTGTTAGGTTGAACAGAGTTTGGACTGGGAAGTAAAGGAATTTTCTGACCAAAGTTGTATTTACAATGACCAGGACCACGTCTAATTTCTACAGTACCCCTTTCAACCAGTTCTCTATCATCAATTTTTAGTCGTATAACCTTCACCTGTAATACATAAACCATAATATTTTAACTGTTATACTTTTTAGTACAAACTACAATACACACTCCACAATCTAAGTTTTCTATTGATCCATTATAGTTCCATATGACTAATGCTGATAAATGCACAGGTGTTTGAAAGTAAAGTGTTAATGTTAAATGTTCATTAGGTAACTCACAAGTCCACATGTCAATATCTCTATCAGAAATTTTGGAAACTAATAATCTGAAAAAAGGGGGAAAACTATATAATTGTTGTTACATTTATCATAATTTGTTTACCATTTCTATGCAGATTGGATTTTACTCAGTTCAAGTTGGTTTTAGAGCAAAAACACCAAACACATAACTTTGTTTCTAGAAAATAATTTTAAATACGCATCTTTTATTCTCCCCAAAAAAAAGTCACCTCTTTCGATTTTGTAATAAGTGTTTTTGCGCTAAATCCATCATGTACCTAGTAAGCATATTCCATAGTCTAGGTTTTATAGTAAAAATGTTGGGTGTATTCATCCTAATATTTGATTGTAAAAATTAAATTCACATACTTGTTATTAGTATCTTAGTGGTATATAAGTTACCAATTAAAGTGGTATAGTACCAGTTGCTAGTTATTAATGCACAAAAAAAAAGTTCTATTTACTTTTCTACATCGGACGTATCAACATTGCACTTTATGCTGTCTATTTTAACAGTATCACCAGTTTCTCCTATAACTTCTAAGCCAAGTAATCCGACTGTATTTAAACTGTTCATTGGTTTGGGATTATCAATCAAACTCCAAGTAGAGACAATAATAATAGTTAACGATTGCTGACATAGTACGGACCCAGTAGTTTGGTAATGCAATTTTACATTGGATGTAGTAGAACTGGAAGATATATTTGTAATAATTGGTTGAGCATACGTCAAAGGTCTAATAATCTAAAATATATTTTATAAATATGTAAAATTAATTATATTTAAAAAAAATATATAATCAGTGAATTAGTAAAGATCAATCTTACACCAGTATCCGCTGTAAGAGGCCGTTGAGGAGGCTCAATTGATATTGCATTACCTGTATCATTAGTTTCCGATAGTATGGAAAATGATGTATCATTTTGTGCAATTTTTTCCAATACGTCATCATCCAAAGTATAAAGAATTGTCTTAAAATTGTATTATTTATCAATTAAACAGTTATATTGTACTTTAGCAGTAAATTTTACAAAAAACATACATCACCAAATGCGTCTGTGCATCCTACAATACCACCAGACGCTCTAGCAATTTCACCTTGAAATATTAGTTGAGAATTTAAATATATTTTAACATTTTTGGCACCTCTATATGAATGGATTCTTGATTTGTTGTAGTTCTAAAAACAATTTTTTTTGTATTTAAATTTTGATGATAAAATATAAGGCGCTTTAATAAGAGGAGGGATACAATTCCCATGATTTTCTTATGTACTAATAGCCCACAGTCAGTGGCGTAAATAAGAGAGGCACGAAAGCTATACTAGTTTTTTTAAGTATTATATTATATATGTATGCGTATAGTATAAATTTTGTACCCGAGGCCAAATTTTGAAGTTACGCTACTATTTAGACATTTATGAATTGAAGCTTTGTAAGTGGTGTCAAAGTTTTGGAATACTACTTTGTCAAAATAGTAAGAGTAACCATTATGGTTTAGGCCACTTTTGAGTTTTATAATTTATAAAACTCAAAAAAAATAAATAAAAAAACTATGTAATTACTCTTATGTGGTCATAATAATATCAATACCCAAATTCGAATCATTGCAACAGTTTGAATTCCATCAAATTCTAAAATAACATGATGATGAGCTCCAGGAGTAAAAGGGGCAAGCCACAAATGCATGTCGTCTCTCGTACGGTTTATACCATCAATTAAATTGTTGACTACTCTAGGGTCTGATGTATACTCTGGTAGAACATTTATGTCTGCTGGATCAGCCGAAATCTAAAAAAATACGGTATTCTGACATTATCATTAAATATATAACCATAATAATTAATGTACATACCTTCAAAATACTGACTAACTGACCTCTGCTATTAAAAATTTCAATACCATTAAGACCCACATAATGCTGATCACCCCAAGTACTTGTTATATCTAGTTTTAAAATTGATCCAGAGGGAAGTTCTGGTACTATAAATGGTGTCATTGGTTGGTAATCATTTTTTTTAACAATGGAATCATTTTCATGTTCTCCATCTAAAACTGTTGGAGTTTTATTACCTAAAAAAAAAAAAAAATTGTTAAAAATATAATGTTTAATGATTTTTTTGTTATGAGAAAAAATACAAATAATATTTTTGATGCTAATGGCATCGGTAAAATACATGTAGAAATAAAAATAGTAATGGTTTAAAAAGAATAAGATACTTTTCTTTTTGAAAATATTTTCATTTATTTTATTTTTAAATATTATAAAATTACTAAATTTGCCTTTTTAAATTTTTTCTCGAGCTTTTTTAACTTAAATGACAACATATTATTAAATTAACTTTTTAAAAAAAACTTGTTAAAAAGTTCGATAGGTCAATAACTAGTTTTGGATAAATATTTTTAATTTTTAAAGTTAAAATTTAGAATAGGATGGAGGATGGAGTGAATCATTATTTTTATAACGGCGCTTTGCTGTATCGCACTAAAACTCCCTTACTAAATTTTAAACGTCATTATAACTTAAAAGTAATTATTTAAAACTGGTTATCGACCAGTCGAAATTTTCATCAAATTATTCTTAATATAAAAAGTTAATTTAATAACTACATTACCATTTAAGTTTTAAAAGTTAATAAAGCCTTAGAAAAAGTTTTAAAAATACAAATTTGAATATTTTCTAATATTATAAAATAGCATAAACTCAAGTGACTCCAAAATAGAAAACTACAAAATTGGAATTACTTTGAGAGCAAAAAGATTGTCTTTTGTTAAATTGATCACCAACCTTGAACCTGTAAAATACAGAAATTATGATATTTTAATTTTAATTAGATACCTTGCCGTTTGCTTGTGAGTCTTCCTTTTTGCTTCCGATTAAAAAAATTGAGCGAGGTCCATGACTGCTCGAGAAAATCTTCAGAAACACGATCATTTGCCTTCTGAAGGGGTTTAATGGTTTTTTCTTTAGCATTGCATGTAGTTGGTGTTCTTGTACTTCTGTTATTGATTATAGCACGTCGTCCATATCGAGCAGAATTTTCTCTTCGTTGTATACGAACATCTGTGTCATCATCATTTAAGAGTAAATCAAACAAATCATTTGCTCTAGGAGATAATGTTGGTGACAAGGATATTGTGGGAGATCTATCCACTGGTGTGTTAGATTCAAATGGTTGAATGCATGCACTTTTTGTATTTGGTACTCTTCGGTTTCTATATGAACTTGTAGATGTTTTACAAGAGCTTCCAATTCTCCTACAACAATAAAATAAATAAGTTAATAAACAACTTTTTTTTATGTCCAATTCAAATGATGTATCAACAGCATCAGACCAAGTCAAATACAAGATTAATTTGCTTAAAAAAAAAAATATCAGCTAAAAATTAACAAAAAATAATGAATTAATGCAATGTTATATATTTTTAGCCACTCAATAATTAGATTCATAATATTCTGTATAAAGCTTAATGAAATAGGTTTGTATTAATATGAAGATTGTAAAAATACGTTTCTTTTTACAAAAAAATATATAGAAATCTTTCTTTTCAAAGAACTCACTCGGACAGATCTTCCAACCATAAAGGAAATATTTCTTTTGACATGAAGTATAAATTTTTAATTACCAAAAGCTTATAAATATTATTATAAATCAAGTTATGTTACATTTTTATAAAAGTCATTTTGAATTTGTATGAATATTAATCAAAATATTTTTTACCTATGATTGTTTTGAAAATTGTTGCTATGGGAACACTAGGTATTTAATGATGTATTTTTAACAAAGATAAATGCAGTAGGTACTTATTATTATTATTATTATTATTATTGGTAAGATTATTATTATCTTATCAGAAAGGTTAAAATACAACATAACGAAACAGTAACTCTTACTTTGTGAATTTTATAAACAAATATTACTTTTTAAGTTACAAAAATAAAAACTATTTTGCTTTTATAAAATGTTTCTAAAAAGTATATTTTTGTTACCAAGAATTAATTTAAAAAATATTATTAGTTCCATATCAACAAAACCTACTCAAGAGCACATGCAACAGTTGGTGACTTTTGACAAACTAACCGACAAAGATGAAGGTATTGGAGTTATTGGACTTAAAAGACCGTGGGCTAAAAATGCACTTAACAAACATATGGCGGATCAATTATTAGATACTATAAAACAAATAAATTCTGAAAATGATATACGTGTAGTTATTTTAAGAAGCCTTGTTAAAGGAATATTTTGTGCTGGAGCAGATCTAAAAGAACGTTTATCATTACATCCTAATGAAGTTAGGGAGAGAGTCTCAGACTTACGTAATTTAACTAATGCAATAGAAAACATACCTGTTCCTGTTATAGCAGCTGTTGATGGTGCCGCTTTGGGAGGTGGTTTTGAATTGGCTTTGAGTTGCGATTTCATTGTTAGTTCAAAAAATACAATGTTTGGCTTAGTTGAAACCAGACTTGGCATCATCCCAGGTGCAGGTGGTACACAACGTTTAGTGCGTTCAGTCGGTGCTCCTATAGCAAAAGAACTGATTTACAGTGCTAGGATTTTTAGTGCTGAGCAGGCACTACAATATGGAGCTGTTAACAGAGTAAGTGAACAAAATGAACAAGGTACAATTGCTTATGAAGATGCAGTTATAATAGCAAGAGAGATTCTACCTAATGGGCCATTTGCTATTAAGATGGCTAAAAAAGCTATTTTTCATGGGCAACAAGTGGATGCAGTAACAGGATATGCTATTGAAGAAGCGTGTTATAATCAAGTAATTCCTACTTCAGATCGAACAGAGGGACTCCTAGCTTTTGTAGAAAAACGAAAGCCAAGATATACAGGTTCATAATAGTATAATAAAATACGATTGTTTTTTTAACAAAATTGTTTTACTTTACTTTTGTATAATTTTTTTATTTTATCTACTAATGGATTTAAATACAAATATTGAAACTACGCAAATAATGTAGAATTATTTATTAATGTTATATAAAACAGAGAAAACGACTGTTCTTTTGAGTTATAATTTTACAATGAGATTGGCAACTTGAAAGTTATACACAATCTTTTTTTTGTTAACTATGTTTAGCAGCTTTTAATTATACTATCTATACTGAATATTTTTTTCGATTTTATTTTTAATCACTCAAAAGATATTATTTTAATTAAATGTGTTTATTTATTAGAACTACTTTGTAGTTGGTCACGGACAGTAGTAAGGGGAAAAGGTATGAAGGAAACCCTAATAAATAATGCTTTACTACTGTTATCTTGTGGCTTAGAACTTTCATAGGCAGCTCTAACTGTATAAGATTAAAACAAAATTTGGATAACTGACGAGTGACGACAGTGTTCTATACCTCACAGGCAACATCGATTTAGATATAAATGGAAATACAATAATGGTCATTGTCTACTGTCAACATTGAACATTGTCAGCGGTATGCCCTGTTGGCCAGTGGCCAGTGGCCATAATGCTCTATTAAAAAAAAACCTTATTTTTGTACTTGTAAAATGTATTATGTATAAAATAAATTATTTATCAACGTGTATTTTTATCCGGCTTTTTAATTAATGATAAATATTAAATTGCATACCACGAAAACGACACAGACTATATTATATTACGAATCTATCTGTTTCTGCCTATATTATTTACTCAATAGTCAATGCTATAATACATAAACTGTGGTAACTGGTTATGGCGAGATGTGTGATTTAAGACCGCAATCCGCACAGCTGTATAGTTATTAGTTATAGGCTATAGCTACGAGTTTATACAATTAGGTAGAGGTATGTCAGCGGTTAGTATCAACTACTATGTAATTGTTGTAAAATGATTTGCTCCTATTAGAAATACACTACAAAGTCAGTAACCGGCAGCCATTTTGCGGCCATCATAATTTATTGACATACCTAATACCTTCTTATTTTTTCAAAATACTGGCAGCTTGGGCTTTGACTATGGTAGTTGATAGTATAGTACAGAGTTACCAACAGATCATTGATGATGTAGGATGATCGATATAAAACAAAATTATAATTATTTTGATTCACAGCAGTATAAAATTTAAAGTAAGTAAATAAATTGCAATTTCAAAAATACCTGATAAAATTCATTTTTTTTTTTTATAAAAACAGTCCTAAACATTTAAAAGTGTACAAACAACATTAACAAACAATGGGAATGGCGTTACTGTCTACACTGTAATCATATGTAGACCCATTTTGTATACTGTTTTCATTCTTCATTTTGTTGTTTAACTATTGTTCGCTCTTATAGTCACGTTATGTATCAAATGTGATTTGTATTTTCATCAAAGTTAAATTTATGGAATCTTGAGTTCAATGTGCACTATTTAGTGTCCTTTATTATTAATTCGCCAACACCTGTACTATTTGTGTATTTCCACATATTTCATGGTTAGCTGGTAAGTATTTAGAAAAACATTTGACAAAATACATATTTACAATTAATTTACACATGCCAAATTTATCAATATTTCCTCAAGGTCATGCGCAGTAGATCAATAAACTTGTATTAAGTTTAACATTCATTGTTATGTTTATTTTGTTGCTCTGGAACTGTAACTGACCAATACAATTATTTTATTAGTTTGTTTGGGATTTTTCAGGCTAAATGAACCTCTCCAATTCTGATTTGAATGAATGCTTATATTTCATAAACTTTAATCAAGACAGCACGTAAGTGAATTTATGTAAACTCTGCAAAATGTGATATTTCACCTTATTTTTTCTACTGTATATTCGTTTTGCACAATATTATGATTTAAATATGATTGTTCTATTTGATACATATATATGATTATTTGACAATATTTCATGTAATATTGTTTTGCTTATGAATTTAAACATTGTTTATCGTTAGTTATATTACACAGTTGACTGTACATACTACATTTGATTGTACATACTAAAGTCGAAATTAAACTAATAATAGCCAAAGAGCTATGTGCGATTTAATGTTTAAATGTTAAGTTTAAGTAAAATTGAAGGTTTATTAGTGGTATAATAGCTAAAAGTTCTTATCAAATTATTATATATTTTAATAAAATGTTTGTAACTTAAGAATTTAGGTATCTATAATATAGAGATGTTAACTTTTTTATTATTAATTAACAGTCATGAAGTATGATGACCAAAAATGTTACCATGGAAACTTAGTATAATTCAAATTGATAAAACTTTTTTTTTTAATTTAATATGAAGATTTTGAGCTTGAACTAGGTAATGGAAATGTATTTTGAATCATCTTTTTAAATTTCTGCTTGTGTTGAATAAGACTCTTATTCAAATTTTATGTTGGTTATATAAAATTTCTGAATAACAAAAAACAACTTATTGTTGTGATAAAAATTTTGAAATTAAAATGTTAACATTTATTATAGCTTATAGTTATGTTGTGAAGTACACATACTCTTAATTTAATTATCATCTGTTAAACAACCGTTATTGGTATTACCAATTTAAAAAACATTTACAAATTCTTCAGTTTAATATGTAACAATAATATTTATATTTATCAAATAACCTAGTTTTTTGTTGGAATTAATTGACATGTGTACATTTTTCTTCTAACTCACCTATGTTTGTCCCCAGCATTAATTAAACATTTTATGATGATAATCATTGATATTTCTATTAAAAGTCAGCCTAAATAATAAATACTTACACACACATTCATGTCTTATATGACATACATGTCTTCATGGTATGTGACTCTCTGGATAGACCGCTTGTAAACTCTTTTTATCTTATTGATTAGATGAAAAACCCTCCAACTCTGGGTCATTGCGACATAAAATAATGTATGATTTAACTGTAGGGATTTTCTATAAATAACTAATGATTTTAAATTTTCTGGTAAAAATTTATAAAAAAAATAATGTATTTATAAAATATATGAAGAATAAATCGACGCTAGTTACAAAATATAATGTGATTAAAAGTTTTTACGACAATTAGTATATTTCGTCCTAAAAATTAGTTTATGCCGTTACAGATGCAAATATACTTCTTTTCGGGAAAAAATTTAAATTGCTGCCCTGAAAAGTTTTAAAAATTATTATGTGGCCTTAATTATAAGTAATAATAGTAAAATATCGTATGTATCAATGTTTATATAAATAATATCTACATTTAAACCTTCAATTTTAGTAACATAGTTAACAATATGAAAGAAAACTTTTCATTAGTTTGATGAGAAATATTTATATTTATACACCAAAACAGGCGTATAATTATATAACAATATGTTTAATGAATTATTATAATTGGATAAAATTATGCAACTTAACCATGGTAACGTGAAATAGATGATGACTATAATAATAATAATAATAATAATAATAATAATAAAAATTAAAAAAATACCTAGAAAAGTATTTGGTGTATTCTTTTAAAGTTATAAGGGGTTTGATAAATTTAGGTTCACAAAACTTCTTGAGTGTTCTAACCTTAAATATTTACAATTGAAGTAGAATACTAAAAAAATTATATAATTTAATCATGTAAAGTATGTGTTATTTAATTTGGTATAGTGAAATCAACAACTTTTCACTTGAGTTTAGTTATATACTGCTAGAAAGACTTAAAACAGATTATTTTGAGGTTGAGCATGTTTTTAGTTTCATTTTTTTTTCATCTGTTCAATATTAGCGATACTGGTGGATTTTATTATAACTATTAACGTGTTTTTGGTCATAATCAAACAACTGTAGAGTACATTATTGTTCCTTCAACGTTCTTACCAAGAATATTGCAGGTAAACACAAGTTTTTAACTATTTATTAGTATTTTTTATACATCTAATATATTTTTTTAAGACAAATATTCAATGATATATTAAGCGTATGTTAGGCTAAGTTGATCAACATTAATTATTGTATTCTACACAACATTCTAATTAAAATTAAAATGTATACTAATAAACTATATTATTATGATTAATATATAAATCTATTTTTAATAACGTTAAAATTAAATTAAAAATAAATTTGTTACCATGGTAATGTAAATTGTTATAAAGTAATTAATATTATAAAATAAAAAAATAATTTCAATGGATAAATTTTGTTGATCAACTTTATAGCCTGTTAATATTAATATTATTATTATTGTTATTATTACTGTTAAAAATATAATTTTTTTTTTTATGGAAATTAACAATTTTTTCATTAAGTCTGCTTGGTGTATAAGTATTAATATTACTTAAAAATAATTGCAGTTTTATTATATATATAGATTTTTTTCTATTCAATTTTTTTTTTAATTCATCAATTAATTAGTGTTAATTTTCAGTTAAAATGGAAGTTGAGATGGACCCATATTTACTGGCTTCTGCCCTGCATTATCATGGACCTAAATTACAAGAAGCAATGGAAAATGAAACTAATGGAGCAGATTTATTTTCTGGACTGGCTAGTTTAAGCTATCCTTCTTATACAAATGGACACAGTTCTGCTAATGATTTAGAAGAAGAAAAACAACTTAAACTACGCAGATTTATTGCAAATCATTCAAAAGCATTTTTCAGTGTTGATGTATTAACTACTAACAAGCAGAAAAATAATGAAAACTTCGAACAGAATTCCTACACAGTAATGCCACCTTATGAGACTTTCGGATTTATTAATAAAGAGTTGAAGTTGAAACACTTTCTTAATGAACTTGCTGAAGGAGAAGTTATCGTTAGTTCAATTGTGTCTAAAACTTCTTCCGGTCTTATTTTGAAAATATTATGCACTTACACTGAACCCATTAGATGTGTGTCAGACATTAATGTGCGTGGGTTTTGTTCTACATCTATCCAAGGCCTTAGTGTTGGAGATAATGTCTGTTGTGAAGTATTAGAGGTTGTACCAGAAACATGCAAGTTAATTTGTGGCACTAAAGGCGTAAAATGTCCTAAAAAATATAAGAGTTTACTTGGTTTATTTAATATGGAAAATTGCCCCCTAACTTTCAAATTGTTCCATGCTGGTAAAAATAATGAATCGTATGACTCTATACTTAAAGCGTCAATAGGATTTAAAAATCCCTCTAATATTTGTAATTTGGAACAAATAACGGGGTTATCAGACGAAAGGCATTCAATATTGCCTGAATTATCTGGGCAGTATCCTGAAAAAGAACTTGCATTAGAATTAAGAAAAATGCAATCGGCTCAATGGGCTATGCAAAGTGTTTCTGATGGAATTAAGTATTTTAAAGCTGGGCAACACTCTGAAGCGTTTCTTTGTCTTAATAAAGCTTTGACAATAGATTCATTAAATGTCGAAGCTTATGTTGCTAGAGGAGCTTTGTATGCTAATCTAAGTCGTTTTCCAAAAGCGCTAGAAGATTTGAAGGCAGCTATTAAAATTAATCCTAAGAATGTAAATGGCCGCAAATATCTTGGAGAAACATTAATGGGCTATGCAAGGACATTAGAGTCCCAAAACAAGCTAGAAGAAGCATTACAGCACTATGAAGAATGTTTGCAAATGATGCCTGATCACGATGAAGCTAAAACATCTATTGATTATCTAAAATCTACTCTCATGGTAGGCAGAACATCATCTTCAAATCCTTTTGATAGTTATACATCAAAAAAATTGGACACCGGTGATCTTGAACTTGATAAATCTGGAAGCAGTAGTAGTAGTTCTAACGAAAGCAGCAGTGGATCAAGTGATAGTTCAAGTTCTGAAAGTTCTTCAGAAGATGAAAGTAATAGTTCGTCAGACAGTGAATCTAATCATTCATCATCATCTTCTAGTTCAAGTGGTGGTTCATCGGGAAATGAATCTCAAAAAGTTGAGAAAGAGAGGTCTTTGTCACCATTTAGTAAGCGATTAGCAATGGATGGTGGTAGTATAAATGGTGGGGGATTACCATGCAATCCTGCATACATTACACCTGAAGTTGCTCAGCCACCACAGGCAAACAAAGAGAAGGAAAATGATATTGAAGCTAGAATCCAGAAACTTTTACTATTAAGTCAGGCAAATAAGAGTAAAAAAGGGAAAAAAATTGGATCAGATCTAAAAAAATTGTTGCAAGAAGCATATGAACTGAAGAACGAAGAAAAGAAATCAGAAAAAATCAAGGCTAAAAAAGCAAAAGATAAAAAAAAATCGCATAAACATAAGAAAAAAGATTCTAAAAATAAACATAAAAGTGGGAAAGATAAGGAACAACATAAAAAAAACAAATCTAAAAAGCATAAGTACGTTGATCCAGTATCAGAAAATGAACAACAGCTAGTTGTACAAAAGTCGAACCTACCTGATCCAGAAAGTGTTAAGTCTAACTTATCAAATTTAAAAGAACCCATCTTCTTTAAAAAGTATGTAAGACAAGAAAAAGCTGATGAACCAAATGTGCTTGATAAAGGCAATGAACAGGAGTTGGATATATTTGGAGGGAATGAAAATATAGAGGTACCACATAGCAACAACTACAAATATATTGAGGATCCATCATTAATTCCTACACCCAAGTTTAAAATGCAACTCCCTACTACAACTACTACTATAACTAAAACTAAGAAAAAAGAAACTGCTGACATTGGACCACCTTCGTTTGTATGGGATAATAATCAGTTTTCAGGCACCCATGAGTTGACAAAAACTCAGACAGCTACAAAAACACAGACTGTTCCTGAAACTGTTACTACAGAACTCAAGTATCCTAGTAGTGTGTATAATTCAAACACAGGATTTTTTACTATGCCTCAACCAGTTCATCCTGTACCTGATAACAATATGGAGGGGATAATGAAACCAAGTCCAAGTATGAAAGATAGATCACGTAGTCGATCAGCATCTAAAAGACATATGACAAAATCAAGAAGTAGAAGTACAGGTGGTCATTCAAGTCGGTCACCATTTAAAAAGAAACCTAGAGATACATCTAGGTCTAAAACTAGAAGTCGCTCTGGCTCATATCCTCGTCACAGGCGTTATTCGTCCTCTCGGTCAAACCGAAGTCGCTCTTCATCTCGCTCTTATTCACGTTCTCGTTCACGCTCACGTTCCAACTATCATCGAAATCGCCAGCCATATTATAATAATCGCAATCGTGGTACATATTACAAGCCACGTTTCCAAAATCATAACCATCATAATCGTGGTTTTCAACATCGAGGAGGCTTTCAACACAGAGGAGGTTATATGAATCGACAAAACTACAATAATAATTACAATAACAATTGGAACAATAGAGGTCAAAGAGGAGGTGGTGGAAGACCAAGATTTTTCCATTATAAGCCCAGACAATATGACAGAAACAGGCACCATGAAAGACGTAGTTATTCTGGTTCGCCAATTCGGCGTAGTCGTAGCCATAGTAAAAGCCGTAGTTTATCCAGAGCCTCATCAAAGGAATATAACAGAAAACGTTATTCTGGTAGTGGCGAAGAAATGAATGTCACTAACAACAAACCAAAAACGCCTCCAGAACCAGATACTAACAATAAATGGTATAATGATAATGATAGTTCAAACATTGATAATAATGGAAATTCACAAGATCATGAAGAAGGTTCAGTGGAATAAGCATTTGCAAATATATAATTTTTTGCTCTTTTTTTTTTAATTTTATTAATATTATTAATTTTTGTATGGATAAAATTGTACGCTGAATATAAATTGTTTGTTTAAATTTTGACGAAATTCTTAATATAGTTTAGGAACAAAATTATTAGTACACTAGCTTACTAAAAATGTTAAAAATTATAAAATATTTTAAGAGGTATCTAAAATAGATATTGAAAAAAAATTGCTGTGTATTAGTATCCATTAACATGCATTATGATAATTATGTCCTTTTTTTTATTCTTAACTAGTTCATTATTTTTATATTTATTTATTGTGTGAACTATTTATTCCATGTGGATGAATCATCTAAGTATGTTAATGTAGGGTAAAACTTCTAAAGATTACTTAACATCTTTTTTTATTATATTCTAGTTTTAAACTCAAAAAAAAAAAAAAAAGTGACTTGTAGACTATAATTTAACTTTTTCTATTTGTATTATATTATGATACATAAGTTGAGATGTATTGTATTCACTGTATGGTTATAAAATATATTGGTAGTACTATAAAAATAATAAGTCAAATCTATAAATGGTGGTTTTAAATTTGTTTAACAAACCTAGAATCTATTTAGTTATTGTCAACTTCTCTTTAAATAAAATACCTTACCACTATAATAAATTACACTTATTTTTTTATTATAATAAATTTGTGTGCCCCACTAAATTTTGTTCTTATTCATGTATAAATGTTTAATCCCTTTTCCCCAGTACAAATGAAGTATTATTTTCACCGGGAACTTAAAAAAAATTAGTGTAGTTTACAATGTTATTCAGGTATTCAGAAGTGTCTGCTATTATTAAAACATACTATCTGGTTTCTCAATTAAGGTCAAATAAATTAAAAATAGTTGCATAGTATTGTTCCATTAAAATAACCCTTAAATTTTCGTCTAGTTATTAAAAATTTAAGTCACTAATAACTAGACGGAAACTAATAAGAAACCTCTTGATAACTTCTAAATTTGTTATAATTATACTAACATTTTTACTACTTATATTAGTCGTCAATACATAAATACGTGCAACTTGTAGTGTTTGGAGTATAATTTATATTATAGGCCGAGGTAATTGGTATCCTGTATTTTAGTGCTATTCAAAAATTATTGATTAGAAAGAATAACAGTCACTGACCTTGGATCTGTTGTAGGTAATATTTCAAACAATATTCTGGTACGAGTCTTACGCTAGTAATTAAGTTTCAAAGTAAATTTGTGTACAGGGTCCATTGTTTAAATTATTTATAGGATTTTCGGTTACACCGGCTTTGCCTGTATAAGTTCGGACATTCTGTACATTATATTTTTGATTATGTATAGAATAAAATACAGATCCTTGAAATCGTAAAATAAAGAAATAATATTTAATTCAAGTATATTATTTGTTTAATTATATATGTTTAATGTATGCAATCGATCACATCCGACAATGTTAGTCTAAACATTTTATATTTTTATGTTATGGTGTGGTGATCCAAAATGTTTAGTATATTATATTAAAATGAAATAGTGGTCAAGTATAATAGTTACAATGTAACATGTAGTATACAAGTATTAACGTACAAAACGTTCATACTACGGGGTTAACTCATCTTTCAATGTTATTTCACCCATCTCATTCATAAAATTATTTCGAGATACGGCATTAAAGTACTTAGCGGCGTTAATTATAAAAAAAAATAAAATTTAATACGGCATATGATTGAAAAATGAGTGTGTGAATCACAACGATGACAATGTTTCATAATGTCACAGCTGTTGCCGTATTTGTACGCTGGTATTTAATTATTGTATCTTATGATACGACAACTATCTGATTTTTTTAACGCCAAGGCGGTCCAGTTGCAATGTGTATTCAAAACGTAAAAAGTATATCTATAGACATTATTATTATCATTTTTTAACCAGGTCATAATCGAGGTCAAGTTTTGCCAATCCCACGCGCGCCAAACACACTTTCAATCGCTATACACTGGGCCACCGTGTTACTAGTAGATTGTAGTAGTATAATATAATATTGTATGCCGTTAGTATTATTATACAAAACACAACAGGCGAAAGTGAGAAGAGACCTCTTCATCGGTATTTGGTCGTGCGCGCAGTATCCAATAACACGAATAAAACATATATTCTGCGTTATTTTCAAGTAACAGTCCCCGCTTAATTTTTTGTTTTTGTTTAACTTCTCAGTATTACGTCGCTGTTTACCGTTGTGGTTTTTTTTCTGGTGCGTACTTTGATAATAATAATTGAACCGTAGCGGAATAAAAAACGCTCGCTGTTTTCGGTTTCAACTTTCGGACACGTGTTGCTAGTGTTGTTATTTATTTAATATATTTTTTTTATTACTATTATTATTTTGTGTAAGCTAATTGTTTTCCGAGTACGAATTAATATGATCCGTAGCGGCTGAGACTGCAGCAGTAGTCGGAACGAAGCGCACGGTGTATAATGACTGTGATGATATTAATGTTATTATTGTTATAGTGCAATACAGTGTGTAGCGCGTGTCGCGGGATAATAATATCGTTGCCGTATCGTGTACAGACATATATATATATATATATATACTTGTACTTGTATACAAACATACACAGCGTTGATTATATGCGCGCCAGTTGTGCGGTACTTCTGTGGACTAACGTTAAATAGTCATTATTTTAGTTGTTAACTTCTCGAAATGGTGCTAAACGCGACGGTCTAAACTAGGCGTCTCGATTTTTTTTTTAAATCTGGTGCTATGATATAAATAAATACTTAAGCGTTTCTAGTTGTTTCAATAATATTTGTCCAGGCTGTGACTTGTTAACGGCTTACGGTGTTGTTTCATATACCCAACACGAGCTTTAATGTCGAACATTGACGATGTACACCTCAAATATTTCAGTTTCGGTACGGCCGGTAAAAAAGTGTTAAGCAAGTACGCACTCGAATTTTATTACACGATATAACAATATTATTTTAATGCCTAATAAGAACAATACTAATAATATATTATAATTTATGAATTTTATTATCATTTGTCTGGGGGAAAAAGTTGTAGATATTTTATGCAAGTATTTTTTGTGTGTTGGGTACCTACTTCACGGTGTGTTTTAGGCCACTAATTGAGTTGACGAATGTTTGTCAACAATAAACGATAATTAGTTTTTACATGGTCATAAATCTAGGAGTATGCATAAATTTAGTTAAGCTGCATCTGTTTCCGTGTAAAATAATTAATTTTTTTACAACTTTAACGAATAATAATGACATAAATAGCAGTTGACGTGCGTTTAGTTTTTGGGATCCAGTTTTAAGTTGTGAAATTCATTCGATTAAGTGTCAATTAAATTAAACTGATAATTATTCGTGGTTATAAATTGCCTACTGGAAACTGAAATCGCTGACGTTCGTAATTAGAAGACGTAAGTTCTATACTCAGAAGTACAATTGCTGACATCTTGTTCGCTATACTCCAAGGTTCGATTTATAGTGCTTAGTATAAACTTACGTAAGAAATACCTCCTCCGTCATATTCATCATAATGTTTGAAGGTTTGAAAGTGAGTTTCAAAAATCGTTTTTAAAAAACAATTATATTGACGGCGCAAAAGCTTAGTTGGCATTTTTCTTTTTTTGTTACCTTTTCTTGTATCAAAAATGTTCATTCCGTTTAAATGTAAATGTTTACTTATACTTTGTTGGTTTACCTTCTTCGCCACGACACAACCTTTATGCGCCACGCAACCATGCACTCGTTACACTTGCAATATTAATTTGCACATTTTCATACAGTGGTTCCCAGATAGGTTATAGCGTTATACTATCGCCATGGCGATTATGTAAAAGACGGCTTGGTGACCTCACTATCCCACACGTGTATCTGATTAGTAAGATACAGCTGATGCGTGTACGGATCCAAAAATTCGAAAAATTATCAACAAAATTATCCTCTGTTTTTTAACTTCCATTCGATTCAATTTTTTGTATTTCACAAAGAACCGAGCGTATCAACTCGTATCAAGTTTAGGAAAGTGCGCACACGGCACGGGTCTGTTGATAATTATTTCCAGACCATATTGATGAATTTTAAGGTCAAATTCTTGAGAATAACCGATAAGACTACGTATTTGACATTGTCCTTTGTATAACGCGTTTATCTAAGACATTAACTTTTTGTTTACATTATTAAAACATAAAATCACACGTCATAATATTTTCATATGCCTTCAAACGATAGTTACTAAAAACGCAGAAAATAGTTGTAGTCAAATTGAAATGGGCTCACTCTAATGATTTTTTTTATTGTAAACAATTAAAAGTATATAAGGTATTCGAACTTTCTTTATGACACAATTATACGATACATTATATTAATAATTAGGGTACCTAATTATATAATGCTTTAAATACTATCTTTAACAACAACAATTGTGTTGGAGTGATAAATAGATGTATAGACATACATATACAATATACCATACATATTATGTACGAGACACGAGTACCTATATAAATAACAACTGTGTCCATGATGGCTGATTAAATGACTGTATCGTAGTCGGAATTTTTGTTGTTCGGCGATTCCAATTTTAACCAGTGTGGCGGAAAAATTATGGATTTAAAATAGAGATAATAGTAGCTAACAATGCTAATGCATTTAACCATCTAAACATATTTTTTTCCAAACAATTTTTTTTTAATTAAATTTAATTTACCATTTATGGAAAATGTTAGTCCTACATAGCAATAACTAACTTATAAATAACAGCTGTTCTGTTAACAAATAGAAACGATAGGTTTTTTTAACTAGTATGTCCATTTATGACCCAATAATAATAATTGCTAATAAAATGTTTTTGATTGTGTACATTTAGCGAAATGACAATATTAAATACTTAAGGTCGCACCGCCCATTTTTAAGGAGTAAAGTATAGGAAATTTTTTACAAAATCTTAATTTAAAGTTTAAACTGTGATGTGTAATTATTAGATCAATAACTAGGACTCTATTTTGGTTGTTAATTTATTTTTTGAACTATCACAGCATCCTTGAAAGCGATTTAAAAATGTTTTTTATCTCTACATGTTTAAGCAAACTGAAAATAACTCGCCTAATTTTGGTTTTAGAGTAAAAGCTTCCATTATGAAATTAAATAGTGAACCATATTCCGGAGGGCAAGACGGTGCGTTTTTTTTATTATTCCAAGTATAACGCTCAATACATAGTTTAGAAATAACGACTTTTTTAACATTTTTAAATGACCGTAACTACAAAAAATGAATTTTTTTTAAAAACGCACCGTCTTGCCCTCCGGAATATTGTTATCTTTTAATTTTATAATGGGTTCTTTTACTCTAAAACCAAAATTAAGCGAGTTATTTTCAGTTGGCGTAAACATGTTTTTACCACTGAAATTAACCGGTGCGACGC